AAGAGTGAGGCGTCCAGGATGACACCAAGGGTGTGAAGATTAGAGAGGAGGAGGGGAATAACTGGAGGCATGGTGGTACACTTGGCAGAGACAGGAAGAGTGGGAGGAGGGATGAATTTGGGAAGAAAGTTCATAAGTGTGGTTTTGGGCGTGTTAAATTTGGGTGTCCTACGGGCCACCCAGTTTGAAAAGTCCAACAGAAAAATAAATGGTGATGCAGAAATGGAGCTCAGGACAGAGACTGAGGCTGGATTTTAGGTCTGGGAGTCATCTGCAGAGAGATCATAATTGAATTAGTGAGAGTTGACGAAATAGCTAAGAGAGTGTAGAGAGAAAAGAGGAGAGGGCACAAGACAGAAAGTCGGGGTTCACTCAGAGCTAGGGGAACGATATGGATAACAACCCAACAAAGGAGACTGAGAAGGTGTGGTTGGACAGGTGGGAAGAGGACAAAGCCAAGTCAAGTCAACAAGCATTTATTAAGTACCTACTATGTGCCAGGCACTGTGGTAAGTGTTGGGGATACAAAAAGAGGCAAAAGACAGTCCCTTCTCTCAATGACCTTACAGTCTAACGGGGGGAGGCAACAAGCAAGTAACTGCACAGACAAGCTTGTATCGGGTAAACTGGAGGCACTGGCATTGAGGGCGACAAGGGCAGGCTTCCTGTAGAAGGTGGCATTTTGACTGAGGCTTGGAGGTGAGAAGGGAGAGCATGCCAGCCATGGGGGATGGACAGTAAGAAGGGAAAGAGTTGGAGGAGAGCCATTGAGATCTCCAAGCATGACTAATCAACTTATGAGGGAGTCTGGGGTCCCTAAATTCTCCCTCAGGATCACGGAGCCCTCTACTTGAGGAGAAATTGTTTTTATAGCCATTGAGAGAGAACTAAAACCAGAATGAGGTGGTACAATTCCATAATTGGCCAATTCCAGAAGTGCAGAAATCTTACGGCCAGCTAAGGGTGATGTCCATCAATCAAAATGACCTTGTCCACAGGCCTTCCAGAGTTCATCTCAGGAAGGGCTCTCCAAAGGTCTTGAGACCCTTCCAACACCATCCCAAGCCTTTCGCAAGTCAGACGGCCTTAGTGTTGACAGACAGTGTCTTAGGATGTTGCGGGTTTGAAGCCAAGGTCAGCAGGAAGCGGATGGCAGTGATTCATCAGGGGTGATGGGGTATTTCAGCAACTTATGAACCTGTTATAGCACTCTACAGACTGGAGGGGGAGGGGTGCAGCAATACCATTCTTATTCTGTCTAACCAACAACATGAATCCAATTGATAAATCAGATACAGTTAATATAATTATGAATACATGGCGGATTCATCATTCATAACTCATCCTACCAGCATCAACTGACATATTTACCTGAAACTTAATTCTATTCTGCTTAATTCACAGATACAATCACTGATACTCATCAAATCACAATCAACTGAATACATATAGATTAATTTGAGTAGAGGGCATCAAAATCATCATCCCAATTTGGAGGGGAGCAAGGTGTAAGAAGACTGGAAAGGTAGGAAGGGATCATGTTATGAAGGGCTTTAAAAGTCAAGCAGAGGATTTCATATTTGACCATGGAGGTACTAGGGAGCATTGGAGTTTACTGATGGGAGGGTGACATGGTCAGAGCTACACTAGCATTTACATAGCACTTCAAGATTTGCAAAGCACTTTTTGAATATCTCATTGGATCCTCACAACAATACTGAAAGGTTTGTGCTATTATTATTCCCATTTTTACAGAAAAGGAAACTGGAGCAAATGGATTAAGTGACTTACCCAGAGTCATATAGCTCCATTTAGCTTCTCTGTGGCTTTAGGAACATCTTGGCAGCTGAATAGAGAAGGTACTGACGTGGGGGAGATCCAGAAGGCTAATATCACAAGAGGAACAAATAACCAAGATGACAGGATAGTTAGTAGAGTCCAACACCGCAGGGATGTCAAGAAGGGTGGGAATTGAGAAAAGTCCATTAGATTTAGCAATTAAGTGATCATGGGTTACTTTTTAAAATCACTTTTTTTTTCCATGAACAAAAATCTATTTTCTCTCCCTCTGCCCTTCCCCACTCCTACTGAAAAACGGAAACACAAAATCCTCATAACATATATGTATAGTCAGACAAAACAAAGTCTTGCATTGGCTTTGTCCAAAACGATTTCATCTTGCATCCTGAGCCCATCACATCTCTGGCAGGAGGTGGGCAGTTTGGCTCATCACTGCTCCTCTGGAATTGTGGGTGGTTATTGCATTGATCAGAGTGCTTATACCTTCCCAAGTTGTTTGTCTTTATAATGTTGTTGTTACTGTAGAAGTTCTTTTGCTTACCTCACTTTGCATCAGTTCATACAAGGCATCTCATGTTTCTCTGAATCCATCACCTCATCATTTCCTACAGCACAATAATATTCCTTCATATTCATATGCCATAACTGTCTGGTCCATTCCCCAGTGAATGGGTATCACCCTTCATTTCTAGTTCTTTACCACCACAAAGAGCTTCTATAAATACTTGTGTCCATTGGTAATTTTGGAGAGAGCAGTTTCAGCTGGGTGATGAGTCATAAGCTGGATTACAGGGAGTTTACAAAAGAGAGAGAGAGGGGAAGAGAGAGACAGAGAGACAGAGAGAGACAGGGAGAGACAGAGACAGAGAGACAGAGAGAGGAAATGGAGGCAAAAGGAAGGAGAGCTGCAGGCTTCTAGGAAATGGTAGGATCTTATGATAATTTTTTATCATGAGCATAAGCATATCATAAGCATATCATTTTTATCATAAGCAGCTGAGAAGGGACTGATAGATAAGGATAGATTGAGAAATAGATGAGGAGCAATGAGATTAAGGACACAGGAGTGATGGTTTTGTGGAGGAAAAGGACCACCTCTCCATTAGCTAGTGAGCTCCTCAAGGAGAGAGCCTTATTTCTTGGCCTTTTCTTTTTGTACCCCCAGCACTTAGCACACTTCCTATCACACAGTAGGTACTTAATAAATGTTAGATGACTTGAATCCTTATCAGAGACTGGAATAAATGAAGAGGGAGCAGGGAATGATGCCAAAGGGCTTTGAAGTGTGGAGAAGAGGAAAAGTGGGAGCTGTCCACATTGAGTGGGTTGTATTTTCTCCTTCAAGTATCAAGTGAGGACCTCAGAGCAGAGGTTGAGGCAGGGAAGAGGTGGGAAGTTTAAAGACAGAAGAAGAGGTTTGGAACAGTTGCTGTGGAGAGTGAGATGAAGAAGAAATAAGAAAAGTTGCTGAAAGGGTTGTGCTATTATTATTCCCATTTTACAGATAAGAAAACTGAGGCAAACAGATTAAGTGACTTGCCCAGGGTCACATAGTTCCACCTAGCTTCTCTATGGCAATTTCTGTCTTACATGGGCATGGTTTGTGGTGTCCCCCCCAATTATGGCAGCAACATCAAAAGATCACTGGTCCCAGATTGCCATAACAGATAGAATAGTAACGAAAAAGCTTGAAATATTGTGAGAATGACCAAAGTGTGACACAGAAACACAGGCTGAACACAAGTTGTTGGGAAAATGGTGCTGACAGACATGTTTGATGCAGGTTGCCAGAAACCTCCAATCTGTAAAAAAAAATGCATTATCTGGGAAGCCATAAAATAAGGTCTGCCTGTAGACCTTGGAGCTGGATAGAGCAGACTTCAAAGAATTCACTTGAAAGGCCCAGATAATCTCCAAGGCCCCTTTCAACTCTCATTCTGTAGTTCTACTTCATGTTCCCCATCCTTAATTTCTGGGCAGTTTCCCTCTGAAACTAGAGAACTTAAGTGTATTTTAATGTAATAATAATAGTGCACATTTACATATCGCTTTAAGGTTGGCAAAGCACTTAATATAGGTGATCCCAATGGATCGTCACAATTGCCCTGGGAGGTAGGCGCTATTATGATTCCCATTTTACAGATGACAACACTGAGGCAGACCAGTGAAATGACTTGCCCAGGCACAGCTAGTATCTGAGGCAACATTTGAACTCAGGTCTTACTGACTCCGTATGCAATCTGTTCTGCCACCTAGCTGCTTATACTAGAACTCGGTTGATTGTGAACCAGCTGGGGACGACCAGGAGGAATTTTCAACGCGCTGCTCTTTTCAACAGCAAATGAAGGACACGAGGAAAAACTTCCTAACAATCAGAAGAATGGTCCCAGGGTGCAATGAATTCTTTCTTTTCTTTCCTCCCTCTCTCCCTCCCCTCCTTCCTTTCTTTTCTTCTCTTTCCTTTCTCTTTTCCTTCATTCTTTCTCTTCCTTCCTTCTCTCCTTCTTCTCTCTCTGTCTCTCTGTCTCCCTCCGCCTCCCCGCCAAGAGAATCCAATGGGTTGTTCCCCAAGGTACCGAGTCCTCAGGTGTCACTCCCGATAACAATACCATGCCTATTATCACTTAAACATTTGCCAAGCGCTTTACAAATATTCCATTTGATCCTCAAACACAACTCCACGAGGGAGGTCCTGTGCTATCATCACACCATTTTACACATGGGGAAACTAAGGCAGAGAAAAGATGAGGCTGCTGAGTCCACGGCTCCCTGACTCTGGCAGCCTACCGCCCCCCAACTCTCAGATTCTGCGCTTGGGGAAGCCGAGACCCCTGAGGCTCGAGAAGGACGCCCCCCGCCCCGCCCTTGCAGACGTCCCTATCTCCCTCCTCCCCACTCTGGCCCGCAGTAATTGACTAATTAGTGAATTTCCGGATACGAGAGTCTGGGCCTGACTCCCTCGCTTTGCCGGGCTCCAGAGGGTCTGTCCGGGTCCCCCGGCCCCCGCTTATCCTCCACAGCGCTCCCGAGGGGTTAGGGGGCTCTAGAGGGTACCCTCCCGGCCTAGGGGCGGGGCCGGGGCAGCCCCGCCTCCCGGGTCACGGGATTCCCTCCGCGCTCATTGGGCAGCCCCAGGAGGGGAGCCCCGTAGCGTCACGGGCCGGCCCCGCCCCAAGCTGGGCCCGGGAGGGCGGCGGACGCGGAGCTAGAGACGGCGCTCCGCGGCGGCGGCGGGGGCACGGCGGCGAGCACACGCGTGGCGGCTGTCCCGGCCTCGGCGGCCCCATGGAGGAGAGCGAGCCCCTGTTGTCCGGGGCTCGCAGCCCCCGCGTCTCGGGCTCGGGCCCCCTGGACGGGCTGGGCGGGCGCGGTCCCGACCCCGGCCGCTCGTACGGCGCCCCGGCCGAGCCAGGTGAGCAGGGGCTGGGGCCCAGGTGGGGCGGGGCCCAGGTGCTGCAGGGCTTAGGCGGGGAGGGGGCCTGGGGAGGGCGGCGATCGGGAGCTCGAACTGACTTTGTTGGGACCGAGCAGAGCGGAAGGACTGCTTATCCTGGAAGGGAGGGGGAGGGGCCTAGGCGGGGGAGGGGCGGGAGGACTGACCTGGGCGCCGGCTCCCCTTTGGCCGCCCTGCCCTCCTCTCCGCCACCCAGGGCCGAGCTCAGGGGAGGTCCTGGACATTCCCCGCGCCCGCCCCAGGATCGGCTAGAGCTGACCCAAAGTTGGGGGGGGTGGGCGCTTCCTCATGCCTCCCTTTAGGGAGTCCAACTCTCTCTGGGTCCAGCTCCGAGGTCCGTGCCAGCTCTCACTTTCTCTCTTCTTTGTTCTGTAGCACACCTCCTGCCCCCCTCCCCCCGCCGCCCCCAACCCTGGATGTAATTCAGACAGCCCCTGATGTGAAGCCGGGGCTTGGGGTCCACCGGTCACCCACAAGGCCTCCCTCCCCCAGCTCGGACAGTCCATGACCTCTGCATCTAAGCTGGGGAGATTGTGGCCCCTGGGGACCTGGTAGGGGGTATGGCAGGTACCCAGGACACGCCCCTAGTGACCAGCTCTCCAGGTCCCTTCTGTTTTCCCACAGACCACAGCTTCCTTGCCCTCCCGGACCACGGTCACCTCCAAGTTTTCACCTTAGCATCCTCTGCTTGCGAGGCTCCTGAAGGCAGCTGGAGAGGCCCAGGGAGTCCCTGAGACTGCCTAGGAGGCCTCTGAGGGCCGGAGTCCGGGGGGTCCTTTCGCCCCAGAGTCTGGCTCCAAGGCCTTTGGAGGTGCTTGGTTTCTGTCCCCTGGGCCCACGCAGGCCGGGACTGAATGTTCTTAGCTTGCTTGCTGACCTTACCACCCTGAGGCATCACAGGCCTCCATGATTTCTGAGCCGATGGAGCCCTAAAGCCCTTTTTTTCCAGGTGGCACCGAGGTTCCAGGTAGCTTAGAAATCATCTTGGCTAACTCTGGATTTGGCTGAGAGGACCTGGGTTCAAAGCCTGCCTCTGAGTGACAGTGCATGAGTCCTTTGCCCTCCCTGGGCCTGTAAAGTGAGGCAGGGGGATTTGCTGATCTCTAAGGTACCTTTTTGTTCTAGATCCATGGGCTTATTATTATCCTAGGAACTCCCATCAATGCAACATGCATTTATTAAGTGCTTACTGTATACTCCTTCCACTTGCTGAGTATTCAGCATCATGGAGCCCCTGGGTGTGGGCTTCAGAAAACTGTCTTTGACGACTCTGTGGAGGATGGATGGGAGAGGGGAGGCTGGGCAGAGGGGCCGGCCAGAAGGTAGTAGTCGAGGCCTCAGGGGGTGAGGGCCTGACCTGGGGTGGTGGTAGGTTTGGGAAGGGAGAGAATGGGGTTTGTATGAGAGATATTAGGAAGGGAGGGTAGAAGCAGCAGGTCATGAGTAAGCCTAAGGGGTCGAGGAGGACTGAGGCTGTGTGTGCCACAGGGAGCATGCTGGGAAAGTCAGGGAGGGGGTGTGGCTTGGGGGAAGGGGCATGATTCTGCTTTGGCCGAGCTGAGTTTAAGATGCCTCCGTCCAATTGGAGATCCACCCGATAGGCACTTGGAGGTACAGAACTGGAGCCCGGGAGAGAGGTTAGGGGTAGATACATCTCTGTCTTCAGATGCTTGAACCGTGGGGGCTGATGCAATCAGCACAGGAGATGGTATAGAGAGAAGAGGGGTCAGAGCCTTGGGGGATATCCACAGTGAAGGGGCAGGACGAGGATGAAGATCTGGCCAAGGAGCCTGAGAGGGAGTGCCATGTTATAGTCAGGACGTAGACTTGTCCAAGGTCACACACTGATCCATTCGCTGGGGTTCTGGACTAGGCCAGCATCCATGGTTTTTCTTCCTTCCCTTACGACTGGACTTGTGTGAGGCAAGTGGCTCCTCTGATGCTTCCTCAAGCTGAGAGGTGACCCACGGCCACGTCAGGCCGTGCCGGCAGCTCACCAGCCCTTCTCGGTGCTACCAGACTGGAATCGTGGTCCAGCAGTGGCCTCTGTGCCTGGGATCCGGACTGGCTGAGGCCTAAAGGCGGGCAAGCAGGTGGGCGGGAACTAACCTCCTGGCCCAGGTACCTCCTTGTCTCTGGAGGTTCGGAGCTGCTGCCACCTTTGGGCTCTGGGAGCCCTCATCCTGATGAGATCATCGCTTTCTCAAAGGTCTGAGTCAAGGTGCCCAGCATGGTATTCTTGGTGGAAATGTCTGGCTCCCGGGTGGCGTCCCAGGCTTGGGCTTTTAAAGTCCTCCCTTATAGTCTTGACGTGCCCAAGTTGATCCGGCCGGGACCTCAGCTCTGGAAAGGAGTCAGTCTGGTCTGACCTGTATCGGAGCAAGTCTCTCCCTTCTTCACTGTGTCCCCAATATGGGTCAGCCAGTCTCTACTTGAATACCTCCAGTCAGTGGGAAGCTCACTGCCTCCCAAGGCAGCCCCATTCCATTCCCGACTAGTTCTAACTGTCAGCATATTCTCCTAGGCTGAATCTGCCTTTGCAGCTTTTAGCCAGTGTTCTGAGTTCTCCCTCTGGGGCAGGCAGAAGGTGGCCAATCCCTCTTCATGTGACTCCCCCCACCCCAAATGACCAGTCAGAAGAAGGGACTGCAGGCACAGAGTCTTGCGGGGCGAGAAGGTGACCTCTATAGGGGCAGAGGTCTATCAGCCGGCTGCTGTGTGACCTTGGACAAAAGTCCTCCCTTCTCTGAGCATTTATCTGTAAGCTGAGACGTTAGGATGAGATTCCAGCTGTGGTTCCTTCCTGATTGAAGTCTGTGGTCCTGTGAGTCACGAATCCTTTCCTCTGTCAGGTGCAGCTAGAGTCCCATCTGCTCTGCCTCAGAAAGCCCTCCTCGCTCCCAGAGTGCTCTGGCCGGGCCCCACCGGCTAGCACCTGATGACAGCCTACTCGTGCGGGGCATGTTCCCTGCTTCTAGCTGAACTGTCAGCCCCGCAAGGGCAGGCTCTCTTCTGTCCCCCCATAGGGCCTATCCATGTGCCGACCTCATAGTAAGCCAGAGAGATGGCATCCTAAAAATCAGGTGCCGGGGTCCCCACGCTGGGAACCTTTCCTCTCTGGCCTTTTGAGTGGGAGGGCAGTGCTGATGTGTGCTGGGCTTGGGCCTGGGCACAGGGTGGGGCCTGCTGCTGACCCAGGCCAGGTGGTGGATGTTGGGCCATGGCAAGATCCTGCCAGGGTGCCTATGAAGACCATGTGCTTTGGGCAGCAGGTGCCTGAGCTCCCCGCCAAGGCGCAGGGAGGCCTCCTCATCACACACAGAGAAGGCGGCAGACAGTGGAAGGGGCTCAGCACGGTTTTCAGAGACGCGGCTTAATCCCAGGCCCAAGCGCGTCCTACCTGGGGAAGGACCTTGTTGCACCTCAGCGTCTGCATCTGTGACGTCTGAATAATCCCTGCACTGCCCGCCTGCCGGGTCGTCCCGAGAGAAGGGGGTGGGGTTGCTGTTACTCTTCTGGCCCCAGCACATGGACAGGTGTTTCCTACGTTTCTGTGGTGTTTGAGTCGATTTGGAGGGAGGCTGTCAGGTGATCAAGGATGGGGGCTGGCTGTGTGCTGGGCAGCAGACAGTGCGGCCCCTTCCTGTGCAGTGTGGGCAGACGGCAGCCTCCTGCCGTGTAACTGAACGAAAACCTATTTGTGAAGCACTTAGGTGCACCCAGGAAGCATGTTAAGTTATTATTATTGATGCTTTCTGGCATCAGTTCTGGAGTCAGGAAGACCTGAGTTCAGATGTGGCCTCAGGCACTTCCAGGCTGTGTGACCTTGGGTAGGTCACCTCACCTCTGCTGCCTCACTATGACTGATCCTTCCTGTTGTCTGTCCAGTCATGCTCATTCCTCGTCCCTCCAGTTCTGTCTTTCTGTTCATCCTTCTGTCTGTCCCACAGTGCTTCTCAGGTGCCTGCTACAGATAAGGCAGGCACTGTTTGCATTTCCAGTGATGTGGTCTGTGCCATAGAGCAGATGCCAGGCTAGTAGCGGCCCTGTGGGTGCTCCAGCCTGGGCCCATCTCCCCTCTTACTTTTGACCATTGGTGGGTGCCTGGGTACACACAGTGTCCGGCCCCCTTCCCCCAATGGCTCCACTCCTCCTCCCCCTGCCTTCCATCCTTCCCAGGCCAGCCCTGTTCTAGGGGCTATAGTAGATGTGAGAGAGAAGACTGGCCCACTCCGTGGGGCCCTCTGAGTGTCTCTCATCTGAATGGGATGGTGAGATTGAGACACAGGAAATGTGGGGTGCGTGGGGAGAGGGCAGGATTAAGAACGAGGTGGCAGGGTACAGACAGTGGACCCTGGGAGTTTGGGGCAGGGAGTGGACCAAGGTGTGAGTGAGTGAGTGTGTGTGTGTGTGTTGTTGAGGGGCTGGGAGCCCTATGTGGGGCTTGCTAAAGCCACAGGGAACCCCAGGCTTGGTGCTTTGGACGAGACACTCCCTGCCCGTGTTGATGGTGCCCAGCAAACCAAAGGGGAACAGCTGGGTCATCCCCTGGACTGGGCCTGTGCCCGGGGCAGGTGCTGGGCCCAGCCCGAAAGGGCAGGAACTGAAGCCACAAGAGGTGAGCAAGGGCCAAGCAGCCTGACCACGGGCAGCCTCGCGGCCTCCCTGCAGCCTCCCTCTCCCTTAAAAGCAGAAGCAGGCGATGTTCTCCAGTGGGTTTATATCCTCTCCCTCCTGTTCCCCTCCCCCCACAAACAAATTAGAGAAAGAAGGAAAACCAAGAGTCCGCGGTTGTCCCGCCCAGCACAGCCCCCAGTGACGAGGCCGGTAGCCTCTTGGCTCTGACAGGAAGTGAGTGGCCCGTTCCCGTCTGCTGGCCTCCGCACCCGTGATGTGGTGTTGCCACGGTCGGCATTGTAGTGACTTTCTGGATTGTTTCTCTCTGGTGCTATTGTTGTGGCCTGAACTCTTCTCCCAGCACACAGGGTTCTTCTCTGTTTCCTCTAACATGAAACGTTTCATCATTTCTTGTGGCACAGCAAGGTCCATCTCCATTCAGATGCCACGGTTTGTCTGGCCGTCCCCAGGAGGTGGGCACCCTCCTCATTTCCCATTTGGGGCTCCTACAGAAGACATGCTGGACCTGTTTTTGGACGGCTCTGTGGGCTTCTTGAGGGTGTGGGCAGCAGCCGGGTGGTTGAGCTGGGGCAGAGGCTGTGGGCACAGTCTGGTAGCCTTCTGGTCAGTCCTGAACAGCTGATGCAGGGCACACCTCCCCAGGAACAAACACTTGGGGCCTCTCTGCCCAGGCCCTCTAGCAGCGGGCATTTCCCTTTTCTGTTCTCTGTCAATCTCGTGGGTGCCAGGTGGAGCCTCAAAGTTGCTTTAATTTTCATTTCCCTAATTATTAGTGTTCTGGAACGTGTTTATACAAACCATGGTTGAAATCTTGGATTTCTTCCTTTGAAAACTGCCTGTTTGCCGGGTATGGAGGTGCCCGCCTGGGTCCGTACTGCCTGGGAGGCTGAGGCTGCCGAGCTCATGTGGTCTGTGTGGTAGTGGGGTGAGGGTGATCACACATGGGTTGTCACCAGGCTTTTTTGGGGTAGAGGGAAGAAGCAGCCCAGGTCAAAGCTTCTGGGTCAATCAGTAGGGGCACTGGATCTGGGAGTGGCCATGGTGCTTCTGGCCTGGGGAAGAGAGGGAGAGCCAGGCTCTGAAAAAGGAGGGAAGGAAGGAAGAGAGAGAAGAAGGAAGAGAGGAAGGAAGGGAGGGAGGGAAGAAGGAAGGAAGGGGGAGAGGGAGAGGAAGGAAAGGAAGAAGGGAAGGAAGAAGGAAAGAAAGAAGGGAGGAAGGAAGGAAAAGAAGGGAGGAAGGAAGGAAAAGAAGGAAGGAAGGGGGGAGGAAGGAAGGAAAAGAAAGAAGGAAGGGGTGAGGAAGGGAAGGAAGAAAGGAGGGGAGAGGAAGGAAGGGAGAGAGAGAGAAAGGAAAGGAAGAAGGGAGGAAGGAAGGAAAAGAAAGAAGGAAGGGGTGAGGAAGGAAAAGAAAAAGGAAGGAGGGAGGAAGGAAAAGAAGGATGGGAGGGGAGAGGCTAGGGAAGAGACAGAAGGCATAGTCTCTGTGTGTTCGCACCTTGTGGCTGTTTATCCATTGGGGAATGGCTGTTCAGCTGTTCCTCCTTTTTCATCACCTGGTTCCTCTTTGTTCTTTGACTGTTTCATCAATGGCTAGAACGACTCTGTTCCCTTGTAATAAGTGTGCAGCCTGTGAAGGGGACTACTTTGAGAGAGAGAGCTGAGTCCCTGAGGTTCGGTGGAGAGAGGCTGGCTGGGCAGTCAGTGGCTCTGGTCCTTTCTTCCCTCGCTGACCTTGGCTGTGCTCCCCACCTCCGGGCTGGGGACCTGTCGGCTCCCCTCTCACCTGTAAATCTGTGAGTCCATCTATCTCCTTACAGACCACGAGCTGTTATTATTTCTCCACCAACATCTTCGTCCGGCTCCTCAGGGTGGTGCAGCCTGACCTTCCTGGTGTCTCCATCTCCATCCACAGCTCCCGCTTTGCTTTTTGCCTGGACAGTAGCCCCTGCCTCAGTCTGTCCCTGCTCCAGTCTGTCCACTCAGTGCCCATGTCTCTTCTCTGCTCAAGGAATCTCTGTGGCTCCCTATTCTCTTCAGGGAGAGAGGACAGATGGCTCATCCCTCAGGAGTGCGACCTGGACCCCTGTGGCAGAACCCCCATCCTTAGGGAGAGTCGAGGAGGGGGCACACCAAGAAATGTGCCAGGGCTGGGCATGGTGACAGACTTTCAGTAGCTGCAGAGGGATGATGTTTTTGGCCAGAGCAGCACTGTGGGTCAGGGGAGGGGGAAGCCCAGGGGTGAGCTTATGGAGCCTGGGAGGTGGAGGCTCCCTGGGCAGAGCCTCCCAGCCCCATGAGCCTCCTTTGTGCAGGTAGGGGTTCCAGATCATCCCCACACCCCTCCCCTTCAGAGGCATCTTCCTTCCCAGGCCAGGCCCCTGCTAACCTCCGCCGTATTCAGGAAACGTGGCCAGGAGCCTGGGAGTCGTGTTTCTGGGGCCGCCTGGCCCTGCGCCTTTGGGTGGACTGCAGTGAAAGGTTCTCCTCGAGCTGCAGCCCATGGCTCCTCTTGCCCAGTTCTCCAAAGGGAAGACTTCAGGGTTTTCCCCAGGTCTGGCCAAATGAGCCGGTCCCTTTCCTGCCTCCTCCGGCACCGCCCCTCCCTGGCCTTAGACTGCGGCGTCATTCTCGAGGTTAGGTCTCGCCCCCATCTCATGCTCTTACCTTTGCAGCTCCTGGTTTAAGGTTTCTTGTGTTTGTATTTGTACAGGCTCACTGAGCCATCCTGGCAGGGGATGAAGGGTTTGGGAGCCTGGGGCAGGCCTTTCTTTCCCTGCCATCTGGAAGCTTTCTGCTGGGCTGGGTGCTCCTTCACCCCTGGGCCCCATCCCAGGGACTCCCTTCTTACCCCTTCCATCTGCCCCTGTGGGGTCCTCCCCTTGCTTCCCTGACCATCTCCAAGGGTTGGGGCATCCTGGATGTTCAGGTGCGGCCCCCCCCCCCCGCCCGGGATGAGCCGCTGGCCTGATTGTGTTGCGATCTGGTCTGGGCAGTGCTGGCCAGCTGTGCCCTAGGCCAGCCCCCCCATTGTCCAGAGCGGGGAGGATTGCCCGGGGTCACACAGGCGCTAAGCAGCAGTGCCTCCTGGTTGGGGGAAGGCCATTCCTGAGCAGGCTGTGCCAGGCATTCCAGTAAAGTCGATGCTGCCCTTTAGTGAATCACTCTGGTTTTGGGCAGAGCCGTTGGCTGAGGCCATCTCCTGGGTGTCAGCCAGCCCGTGGCGTCGACGAGGCGCCTCCTGGGCAGGGGTGGCCAGCCCGCTGAGCTGAGCCAAGAGGCTTCTTCGGCCCTCTCCGAGGCCTCTGTTCTGGCCCGCCTCCCTTGGCCTGCCTTGGTGACCGCTGAGTGCCCCGCCCCTCCACCTGGCAGCTGGTGAGAGCTCTCCCTGAAGGGCAAAGGCCTCTGGGCCTCAGCTTATCTTTATTTCTTACCAAGGCAGGAAAGTTCCCGTGAAAAAATCATGATGTCAGCCTGGGCCCTGTGGCCCTTTGTAAAGAGACCCAAATTCAGAGTCAGAAGGCCAGAATTCAAGTCTCAGCTCTCCCTCTTAGCAGATGCATTAGCCACAGCCATAGCAGCTTGTATTGCTAGGAGACACTGTAGGCCAGTGCAGTCAAAGGATCTGGATTCAAATCCTTCCATGGATGCGTTTGTGTGACCTTGGGCAAGTGACTGGACCTCTTAGACATGGCAGTTCTCTCATCTCTGAACTGAGGCCTAGATGGGCTCTCAGGTTATTGTGTCCCTTCCCCTCTCTGGGGCCTCAGTTTCCTCATCTGTAAAATGGGGGGTTGAACTATATGGCCCCCAAGGTCTCCCCCAGCTCCAGATTCTGTGATCCTTGGGAAAACCCTGTTTTCCCAATACAGCTCATTTTACAGAGAGGAAAACTGAGCCCCAGAGAGGGGAAGGGAACTGTCCTGGGTCACACAGCTAACAGTATTGCAGCCAGGATTCAGATCTAGCCTCTTGACTCTATCTCCAGCATTCTTTCCATGACAACCTTCTCTTGACCTCAGTTTCCCCCTCTGTAAAAATGCCTGAGGTGGTCAGGATGACCCCTCCCTCAGGGGTCCTCCAGCTCTGACATCCTGTGACTTGATTTCTCTCCTCTGTGTCCAGGTGCCAACGCCTGCCGGGATCTTTGCATCAACCAGGCCGTGGTGTTTATCGAGGATGCTATCCAGGTAGGGGCTGGGTTGTGGCGGGGGCTGTCCCTGCTCCTTCGTCCCTCCAGCTTCCTCCCCTTTGGAGGAGGAGGTGGGGTCAGGGCCTGGGGAGCGGGAGCCCAAGAAGACCCCACCCCATGTTTGCGGGAGTGTGCCAGCCCTCCTGCGGGGGCCTGGCTGAAGTAGCTGCACGTGGAAGTGTGGCCATTGCTTTTAGAAATGGTTTTCAATTTTCAGTGAGTCGGGGACATTGAGATAGAGCAAGGGTCCTGAGTGTGCTCTTGTGGCCAGGCCACCTGCCCTCCCACTAGGGGTGGGCTCTTCTCACACATGGGTGGGAAGAGGGGGACTGAGAGAGTACGGAGGGACCTGCCCCGTGCCCAAGCACATGGCACTCCTCGAGAAAGGACACGTGGCGGGCATCTTGGTGAGAGCAGAAGCTTATCCTTTTAAGGGACTGTACTTTCATTCCTTTTTAACTGCTTGTGCATCTTTAAATTTTTATTAAAATTATTTTATTTTATTTTTTGCCTTTTTTTGGGGGGGGGTGAGGCAGTTGGGGTTAAGCGACTTGCCCAGGGTCACACAGCTAGTAAGTGTCAAATTGTCTGAGGGCGGATTTGAACTCAGGTCCTCTTGACTCCAGGGCTGGTGCTGTATCCACTGGGCCACCTAGCTGCCCCTAAATTATTTTGTTTTATTGAAAAAAATTTGACATTTTAATTTCTAGTGCTGCCCTTTGTACGTCTCACCCCCATTCATTCCTGAGCAGATCCCTGCCCCTTCCCCATGAGCCAGCCTTTCTCACACAGAGAAAAAAGAAGAGAAGAAAAAAAGCAAAACTGTTAGCAGGATCTAAGAGTGTATGCAATATTCTGCACCCACTGTCCCCCCAACCCGGGCACTCCAGGGATGGAGGAGAATTTTCTTTCCCCTCTCTGGGTCCATTTTAAGTCATTATGATTGCAATATCCTCTTAAATTTTTTAAAATATGTATTATTATGTTATATATGTGTATGTATGTGTGTATATATATATAGAGAGAGCATGTCTCCCAGCATCAAATAGAATCTATTTGGTGCAATTTAATAAATTTTCACTGATTCCTGGAACTTTGAGCGCTTAGCAGAGTGCTGGTACGTGGTCGGTATAACTGATCTGTAATAATAATAATAATTAATTAATTCTGGGATGCTGATACTAATCAGTGAATTGACTACACACTGCCTGACCGTTCCGAAGGTCAGCTCTTGTGGGCTGGGGCCAGGACCAAGGTCCTGCTGCTTTTGACCCTTTGCTCACTGGCCTTCTTGTCTGTCTTTTGGCCCACCCCCAGCTGTCACTGTGTCCTTGTTTCTAATGCACAGCCTGGTTTTTCACCCGGAAGGCCCGAGTTTGGTGGCTTGGTCTCTGTTTGCTGAAGCTGGTCAGGAGACTGAGCCCCGGCTGTGGGTTGTGTCACCTGGGCTCCCGCCTGGGCGCTCAGCTGGCCGCCTCCCGCGGGTGACCCAGCCCTGAAGGGGATGGCGACCCTGACCCCCAGCTCTTCTCCTGTCTTCTCCCCTGAGCCCTGTGTGTTGGAAGCTGTTTCCATCCCAGCGTGTGGCCTCCCCTGACCACGTTTGACTTCTCATTCCAGTACCGTTCCATCAATCACCGCATGGACTCCATGTCGCTGGCGCTGTACCGATGGCATTACTCACGCATCTGCCAGGGGTGAGAATTCCCTCGTTTTGCTCGTGGTTTTCCCGGTGGGCTCTGCTGGATTCTGTCAGGAATCATAGTAGTGGCACCCCCTGGCACTTCCGCAAGGCTCCGCCCATTTGTTTCCCTAAATGATCCTGTGAAGGCAGTCTGTGCTGTAGGGAGGGGGGTGCCCATTTTAGAGATAAAGAAACTGAGCCTCAGAGACGTTAAATGACTTGCCCGGTCCCTGCTGACTGCCTCTTTGGGGCTGGGGCGTCCAGGGATCTGCAGAGCCAGGCCGGGCTGGAGCAGGGAGGGCTGGGAGGCTGCCCAGGGGGCACCCAATGAGGACGCCTCAGATGCTGACCACCTGTGAGCTGCCCCTGGGCACATCACTCTGTGTCCCTCAGTTTCCTCATCTGTAAAATGGACTCAGTGGTCTCTGAGGCCTCTTCTAGCTTGATGTGGGGGATCCTACAATCAGGACCGAGTGGGCAGGAGGGCACAGGGGCTGCGAGGTCATGGGGCTGACTCTTCTCTAGGGCAGCTCGATGACCACCCCGTGCTGGGGCCGGGCCTGGTGCTGCAAGGGGAGACATGGAGACTCAGGGGAAGGCTCCCTCCGGGAAGGTGGGGGGGGCAGGAGCGTGTCTACATTGGGTTGGGGAGGGGACTGGTGTGCAGTTAGATCCAACCAGCCCTGCCTGGGGCTCCTCAGCCTGTCTTCCCTCCATTCTTCTGGGAAGGTGGGCCTGCTCCAGGCCTGGGGCAGGGCAGGGCATCCGGTCCTCTCGTCCGGGCAGACTGTGGGCAGGACCCCAGGCCTTGTCCTCACTCTGGAGGGTGGCCGCGGTGGGCTCTCCGGGCTGCCCTTGTGTGTTGTCTGAACGCGGCCAGTTTATCGAGTATTCAGACCATGGCTGACCATTGGTGAGGGCGGCGGAGCCAGCCACGGATGAGTAGAGCAGGCTGTGCAGAGTCTTGCAGGGTCACTGGATGCAGAGCCGTCCTACTCTATAGAAGAGTCAGCTGAGGCCCAGAGAGGGTGAGGGACTTGCCCAAGGTCTCACAGCCAGTCAGTTGTAGAGCAGGATTTGAATCTGAGCCCTTGGGCTCTACACGTGGGGCTGCTGCCACTGCCCTATGTCAGCAGTGGGTTGGCCGTGGCCAGGCTGCCCTCGTGGCGGGGCTCATGGAGGGTCAGCCCCGTGTTTTCACGGAGCTCTGGCTTTTTTCCTAGGGTGCTCAGTTTCACCATTTTCCTGATCCTGTCTCTGGCCTTCGTCGAGACCCCTTCTTCCCTCACGATCACCTCGGATGTCCGCTACCGCCGGGCCCCCTGGGGAGCCTCCGTGTGGCCTGACGGAGAGCATCGAGGCGTTGTGCTTCCTGGTGTTCATGGCGGACGTGTCCGTGAAGGTGAGCCCGGTGTGGGGGAGGGGCCCCAGGCTCCTGGCATACCCCCTCCCAGCCTCCCCCGCTGTGTTTCCACATGGTGGGAAATCATCTGTGCAGACGCCCTGGCTTTTGTCCTTTTAAAACCTGCTTGTTGAAGTCTTTTGTCATGAAATGGACTTTGCTTCATCCTCATCCTCTCCATCCCAATTCTTGTAACAAAGAGTGAAAAAGAGGGAAAGAGTCTTGACAGTGTTCTGTGCCTGCAGACCCCCACCTCTGCAAAGAAGACACACGTTCTCTTCCTCTCTGTCTCTTTCTCTCCTCTCCTTCTCTTTCTTTCTCTCCTCCCTCTCTTCTTTCTCCCCCTTCCCCCTCTTCCCCTCTCTGTCCCCCCCTTCTTTTCCCTCCCCTTTCCAGCTCTCCCCTTCTTCCACTTTCCATGTCTCTGGGCCTCAGTATCCTCATCTGTAAAATGGGGACTGTGACCCTCATGGTCCCCTGGGCTTCCCCCCCTGTCTTCCGGGATGGAGAAAAGCTTGATTTCCCCGGAGGTGTGGAGAGCGTCTCAGTGTGCGCCTTGGTCTTCTAGAGTTATTTGATTGGATGGAGAGAATTTCTGAAGAACCGCTGGCTGTTGGCCTACATCGTGGCCCTGGTGGTGTCTCTGACCGACTGGACCGTGTCCTTGAGCTTTGGCTGTCGGGAGGTGAGGGGAGGGGACTGCACAGGACGTGGCCTGAGATGGGAATGACTATTGGGGAGGGATGGGGCGTGCGTATACACACGTGTGCCTGGCATGCTGTTGGTAAACATCTACTGTGTGCAAGGCTCCTGAGGATGGGAGATGAGAGGAGGTGGAGGCAGGGGGTGGGGAGCTGCTCCTGGATTGGGAAGGGACCTCCGCCGGGGGTCTCACTCCCACAGGATCCATCAAAGCCATTTGGTGAAACTTGGGTCAATGAATGATTTAGAGGGGGTGCGGCTCGTAGAACCACGGCCTGTTTCACGCTAGAAGGGGCAGAGGCTGAAGCAGGAGTCCCTCCTGCCAGTGGTCACCTGGCTTTTGATGGGGAGCCTCTGGCTGGGGAGCTCGCTGCCTCTTGGGACGGTGTGTCCCAGCGTGGGACGGCCGGCTCTTCAGAATGGAACTTTCCTCTGTAACTCCCCCCCAGGCTGGTTCCTCCCCTCGGGCCACACAGAACCAGGCGCATCCCTGTTCCAGCAGGCAGCACCTCCCTCCGCCTGTTGTGCGTGGTCTCCAGAGGTGCGTTGGGACCCATGATCCTCCTCTCTTTCAGACAGTGCGTGTCCGCCGGCTCGTGCGGCCCTTCTTCCTGCTCCAGAACTCTTCCATGATGAAGAAGACGCTGAAATGCATCAAACGGACGCTGCCCGAGATGGCCAGGTCTGCGGGAGGGGCTGGCACTGGGAGGCATCGGATGCTTCAGTAGTGTGGGTGTGCTGCGGTGCCCAGAGTCAGGGAGAACCTAGTTGCAGTCCAGCCTCAGACACTTACTAGCTGGGTGACCTTGGGCAAGTCACTAAAAAACAAAAACCTGTTTGCCTCAGTTTCCCCATCTGTCAAATGGGGATAATAACAAAACCTGGCTTCCGGGGTTGTTATGAGATCCAAATGAGGTCACATTGATAAGGCACGTTGTAAACCTTAAAACGTTATATAAATGATGTCTGTTCTGTGTGTGGGGACCAGGATGGGGTGGGGGGAGCTTGGGGAGGAGCATCTTCTGTAGCTGGGGAAATGCCTCATCTCCCCATGGGGGACAGGTGCCCAGCTGTTCAGAGGCCCTGCACTGATGGTCCTGGTGACCTCGGCCCCTTCCTGGCTGTTTGCTGGCCCTGCCTTGCCTGGGAGGGCCCGTACCTTGTTGGGGCTGGTGGCGCTGGGCTGCTGCCTGAGCGTCCGGCTTTGGGATGGCAAGGTCCTGTGGTAAAGCCGCCCTGTGGGGACCCCTCTGCATGCTCCCCCAGGATGACGGTCCCCTCAGTCCCTTCCTGTGGTCACAACTATCCCTTGACTTAGCTCCCAGAGTGCCCACGGGTGTAGAGCAGAAGGGACCCCAGAGGCCATTGGGTCTGGGGGTGCTGAGCCCCTTTTCTGCCTCAGGCACCGAGGATACAGCCAAACGTGTCAGACTCCCTGCCCTCCACGAGGTTACATTCCAGGCTGGGTCATGGTGGAGGGGAGTGTTAGAGAAAAGGAAGGTTGAAAGAAACCAAGGCATCTGAGGCTCACAGCATTTCAGTGACTTGTCAGTGGTTAGATCCATAATAGAGAAGGAGAGAGGAAAAAATAAGCATTTATATAGTGCCTACTGTGTGCCAGGCATGGTACAAAATGCTTTACAAATATGGTTTGATTTGATTTTCACAACAACCCTGGGGGGGAGGGGCTGTTATCATCTCCATTTTACAGAAGAGAAAACTGAGGCAGGCAGAAGTTAAGTGACTTGTCTAGGGTCACTCAGCTAGTAGTAGTAGTAATAATAATAATAAAATAATAGCCAGTATTTTTACAGCACCTACTGTGTGCCAGGCACTGTGCTAAGCCCTTTAAAATTATGGTCTCATTTGGTCCCCACAACAACCCTGGGAGGGAGGGGCTGTTATTATCTCCATCTTACAGAAGAGGAAACTGAGGCAGGCAGAGGTGAAGTGACTTGGCCAGGGTCACTCAGCTAGGAAGTGTCTCCCTGGCTTCCTGCCCAGCAGCCCCGTGCCCTGATCCCTCCCTGCACCTTGGGGCTCTCCAGCCGTTCACCCTTGTTTCTCCCTGGGGCAGCTGCCCCCTTCCCCAGAGTACAGCTCGTGGTGGGCGCAGTCCCTTTGGCCATCTCTGCTGTCTCTGCCGTTAAGAGAGCAGGGGCCCGTGCCCGGCCGGGCGGGGCATGTTTGTCCCCATGGCCGACGTGTGTCCCCTTGGGGCTCTCCCTGACAGCGTCGCCCTGCTGCTCTTCGTCCACCTGTGCCTCTTCACGATGCTGGGAATGCTGCTGTTCATGCGGGAAAAGGTGAGAGGGAAAGGGCCCTGCCCATGTACGCGCGCCCTTCCCTGCTGCCGGGGCTCCTGGGCCCAGAGAGGTTAGCCCTCTGCCCGAGATCTCACAGCCAGTTAATCTCCTGGGCCCAGAGAGGTTAGCCCTCTGCCCGAGGTCTCACAGCCAGTTAGTCTTCTGGGCCCAGAGAGGTTAGCCCTCTGCCCGAGATCTCACAGCCAGTCAGTCTCCTGAGCCCAGGGCCAAGTCATGCCAGTCACCAAGTGTTTACCGAGCCTCCCCTCTCCCCTCCCTTCCACTCGTCCCTGGCCTGGAGCCCCCTTTGGTGTGAGGCAGCCTAGGGAGAGGACTGAGCTCTGGCCTTTCCGGGTTCGAATCCTGCCTCTGGCCCTTCCTGACTGGGTGGTGTTGGAACAGTAACTGCGCTTCCTCAGCCACCACTTCCGTGTTTGTAGCCTCACAGCAGCCCCCTGGCATGGGTTCTCTTGTCCCCTTTTACAGATGAGGAAACTGAGGCTTCTGGGGTGGTCAGTGACTTATCTGGGGCCCCCAGCGAGTGAGTGTCAGAAGTGGGATTTGAACCCAGGTTCCACAGTTCCAAGTCGCCTGCTGATTGGCTGTGCCCGTCTGCCTCTGAGATACTAATGCTAATGATGAAGAGGAAGATGCCCAGCATTTATATTATAATTCGGGCTTCTTAATTGGCTTTCCACATGGTATCTCATTGGATCGAGAATGGATCCTCATGGCTACCCTGGCAGGGAGATGCTGTCATTTTCCCTTCTGAGGCAGGCAGCGTCGCAGGGGCTTACCTGGGGGTCCTCATCAGTGGGCTCCCTCTCCCCAGAAGGGGCCCGAGCCCCGGGTCACTGCTCTGGGCCCAGGAGACTGACTGGCTGTGAGACCTCGGGCAGAGGGCTAACCTCTCTGGGCCCTCTGCTTTGGTACCAAGGCCTGATGTGTGCCCAGCGGTCTGGTGTGGTGACTGTGGGCGTGATGAGGGTGTCCGGTCCGCCCCCCCACCCCCCCGGGGCTCCTCTTCCCAATCTCCCCCCCAGTCCCCATGCGAAGGCCCTGTCTCTGTCGATATGCTGGTCTGTGCCTGGTTGTTTGTGGGTTGTCTCCCCCATTTGGACGGGCAGGGACTGCCTTGTGTATAGCACAGCGCCTGGCACATAGTGGGAGCTTCATAGATATTTTTATTGGCTGACTCACTGACATGGGCCCAGACCACCTGCGTGGCTCTAGGCTAGAAGGGACCTTGGAGGCCATCTGGGTCAACCCGTTCTTTTACAGAAGGGTAAAATGAGGCTCAGGGAGTGACTCGTCCCGTGCCACACAGATAGCGAGGAGCAGGGGCTGCCTCTGAACCTGGGCCACCTTCCTGCCCAGCCGGGCCTCTTTGCCCTTCTTTCCTTGAGGGATGGGCTTGGCTTGGTCAGAGTCCCTCATGCCTTGCTCCTTCTCCCCCGCCGCGAGTCCTCAGCCCTGGGCAGGTTAGAGGCTCTGGTGGGTGGACGTGTTCCCAGCCTTGGGTTTTTGCACAATCTCAGAGACTCTCAAACCCGCCTTGTCCTGACGCAGGCTGCCCTGGTCCCCAGTGGCCTTCCAGGCTGTTTGGAGATCTCTGGGACGGTGGAGGGTGGGGGGCATTTTTGCTCGCTGTCCGGCCTCCCAAAGCCCCGTACCTCCATGCTCAGGATGACCAGACGGACCAGGAGCGGCGGCTGTATTTTCAGAACTTGCCAGAGTCGCTGACCTCCCTTCTGGTGCTGCTGACCACGGCCAACAACCCCGACGGTGAGTGAGGCGCCTGCTGTCACGAGGACCTGTTGGAAGGACCAGCCGAGGTTCCTGCCCCTTCCCAGGTTTCTTCCCTGGGGGTTCTGACAGTCCCAGAGCCTAGAACAGGAAGGGGTTCTAGGCCGGCCCATGTTATCACTAACAGAGGATAGCCCAGTCTCTGCTTGAGGACCCGCGGAGATAGAATGCTCACTGCCCCCAAGGCTCCAGTCCTGGAGAAACATTTTATCTCCAAAACCTGCCTGCCTGGGGCCTCCCCTGCCCTGGGGCTGGGTTCTTGTCAGACACGGAACACAGCAATCCTCCACCATGCTCTGAGCCTCCAACTGGCTCCCTCTTATTTTGACTCTTTCTGAGTCTGTACCCCGAATCCCACCACATCACACTGCGACCTGTCTCCTGTCTCTCAGCACTTCCTTCCATTCCAGCTCTGTGCACGCCTTCATCCCCATCTCTCGAATCCAGAACTCTCACCTCCTGTGTGGGGGGAGGCCACCTAAACTCCTGTTAGCTCCCTGGGCTGCCACGTCTCATGTGGATCTGCAGAAAGCTCACGGTCCATTTCAGCCCTTTTCCTACCAACCCCCATCCTGCCTTTGTGTAACTGACTTTTTGGGCCCCACTGGAGGACTTTAGGTTGTAGGAGAGGCTGGGTCTGTCCAGTCAACTGTGCCAGTGTCACCAATGGGAGAGAAATCTCTGCTTTTCCCTTGGGATGCAGGAAGTTAAAGCACTGGGTATGTGTTGGGGGCAGGGTGGGAGGGAGAGAGATGACTCCTTTGCGTATGAGCCTCTGTCTCTCTCCTCTCCTTGAGTTGCCCCTTCCAAAGGTTCCTACCCCCTCCCACCCCCTCCCACCGCCTCCCACCCCCTTCCATGCCCTTCCACGCCCTTCAGGGTAAAGTCTACCCGGTAATCTGAACCAGCTTTGAGGTGGTTTTAGTTCCTACTTGGATTTCCCCCCTTGTAGTGATGATTCCTGCATATTCCAAGAACCGGGCCTATTCCATCTTCTTCATCGTCTTCACCGTGATTGGTGAGTAAGCCCCCCACCCTGGGAACAGCTGAGATGGAGTCCCCCAGCCAACCAGTGGGCAGCGGCCTCACTGACCATGACCCTGAGGGGAGGGCCGGGGTCACCACCGCTGATGTTGCCCTCGGGCGAGCTCTGTGTCCCCAGTCACCCCCCACTCCATCATTATGGATTCGTTGTGCAGCATGGCCAGGGTCAGAGGGCTGGCCCCTGAGACTGCCAGATAAACTCAGATCCCTGGTCGCATTGATGGAGAGAGTTTCCACGCTGCAAGTTTCTGACCCTGGTGGAATCCCAAGTCTGCTCCCCCCCTCTCCTCCCCTCCTCCCCAGTCTTCGGGTCATTCTAGAATCAGAGATCAAGAAGGGGCCTGGAAGAGGCCTAAGACACCATCTGGTCTAACGGCCTCATTTTACAGATAGGGAAGATGAGGTGCACAGTGGGGCAGGGACTTGCCCACTTAGTTCTGCATAACCAATCAGCATTTATTGAACACCTGCTTTGTGCCAGCCATGAGCTCGGTGCTAGGAGTAAAAAGGCTAAAGTGAAATAGTTCCTGTCCTCAGGAAGCTGCCACTCTAGCAGGGAAAACAGAAATGCTTGTTGTCTTGGGCCGAGTTGGTGCACGGCAAAGGCCAGGCTGGTGCCTGGGTCTCTGACTCTCCACCGGTTCAGGTGACCCGGGTCACGCCATCCCCCGAGCAGGGCATCCTGACAAGGGTCCGGCTCGCTGGGAATTTACGCAGTTTGGCGAGGAGCCAAGAGGTGTTTGGGAGGCTTCTGAAGCTGTGCTTAATTAAGCAAAGAATGGGAGTGTGTGGAGGGGAAGCCACGAAGAAGGGAGGGTCAGGAAGTGGCTGAGCGCCACGGCTGACTGCCCACCGACCATCACAGCCTGACCACCGCGCCCTGACGGCTGCACCCGCTTTCTTCCTCACAGGAAGTTTGTTTCTGATGAACCTGCTGACTGCCATCATCTATAACCAGTTCAGGGGCTACCTCATGGTGAGTCGGGGCTGGCGCCTGCCTGGGATGTTCAGGCTGGTCGTATGTACTGGTGAAATGTCCTCTGAAGAAAGCCTCCCCCCTAAGGTTTGATCAGGAAGTAGCAAGGCAGACAGGTGGCTTGGAAGCCAGCCTGGGCTGTGCTGTGGAGGAGCTGAGTCGCCTTCCGTGGACCTCGGTTTCCCTCTTTGTTGTAGGGGTTGGACGGGGCGACCTCTGAGACCCCTTCCTGCCCCCAGAGTCCATCATTCCCAGGCGGTCTTGGGTATCTTATAAAAATCGAGGCAGGAGGGGGCACCGGAGGGTGTTTTCCAGGCTTGCTTTGGACGGTATGTGCTTTTTTGGCGGGTAGAAGGGCCTCGATGGGTGATTTCATTGGGTGGAGTAAAGAAACCCCTTCTAACCAGTGCACATTAGAAGGAAGGAAGCATTTGTTAAGCACCTCCTGTGTGCCAGGAGCTAGGTACTTTACAAGTCTGTCTCATCTGATTCTCATACCAACCCCAGGAGGAAAGGGCTATCATGATCGCCCTGTTACAGATGAAACCGAGGCTGGCTTCCTTAGGGTCACACATCTAGGAAGTGTCTGAGGACAGATTGGAATCCAGGTCCTTTGGCCTGGAGGCCTAGAGCTGTAGGCACTGGCAGCCTGGCTGCCCCTCTGCGGTTTGCAGTCTGAGAGTGCCTGGAGGCGCTAAGCGATTAAGCCGTTTGCCCGGGGTCCCACAGCAGGGGTGTCCCATTGTTACCGAGGCCCCCAGTGGCCGCCCTGTCCCTGCCCCCTCGTCCCAGTGTCCCATTTCTGGGGATGGGCCTCAGAATCCTGAGCTCGGCTTCTGAGATTAGCTCCCAGAAGAGACGGTGGGGGGTTGTTGGGGATGTCAGGGAAATGGGCTGCCCCCAGAGGCCGGGGCACCCTCCCCCTCCCAAGGAGGCTCAGGTGAGGGCTAGATGAGCCGTGCTGTGGGTGTGGGATGGGCGGGATGGCCCCGAGGTCCTTCCAGCCCTGAACATCTGTGACACTCCGCGTTCTACTTCAGCTTGACCTGGCATGTAGTAGGCACTCACCTGGCGTCAGATGGAATGAGGGTCTCCTTTTCCCCTCCCCCCCCACATTCCTTCCCTCCTGGGGCCTTCTCTGCGTCCTGGCCCTCCCAGCCTTGTCCTTGTGGCTCTTTGGAGGCCAAGGCACGCATTGCCAGGCATGTATGTGTGTGGAGGGGTCCTGGGTTCAAGTTTAAGCAGAGCCCTTTGCTGGCCCTCTGGGCTGGGGGCTAGATGTGGTCACTTCTCCTTGGCAGGAATCGATTCAGTCCTCACTCTTTAGGAGGCGATTGGGAATCCGGGCGGCCTTCGAAGTCCTCTGCTCCCTGGAAGGAGCAGAAATCCATCCTCTCGTGTGAGTGTGGACAAAGTGGTGCTTGGGGGGGTGGGGGCGGGGCAGAAGGGGTGGCCCTCATTTCCCATCCTGCTGATGGCAGCTCAGAGGTCTCCCTCTACTTCCGGCTCAGTCTAAGTTCATTCATTCAGTGAGATGTCCAACCTTGTTCCACCCTCATGAGGTGGCCTGGGCTGGGCGGGGGGAGACCTGCAAATCAATGAGGTGAGGCCCTGTCCCCGGGGGGGCTTCTGCTCTGGTGGAGAGATAAGCCATGTATGTGTATGAATGTGCCACCTTGGGCCATTCACTTCATCTTTCTGGGCCTCAGTTTCCAAGTTAGTAAAATGACCACGAGGCCTTTGAGATCCCTTCTGGAGCCACACCAAGGGTCCTCAGCCTTTCCCCCTCCCCACCTTTGGCAGTCAGCCTGGTAAAGCCTGTGGCCCCTTCTCAGAATAATGTTTTTAAATGCATAAAGTAAAATATGTAGGATCACGTTGAAATACAATATTCAAAATGTTAAAAATAAAAAAAAGTTCACAGACCCCAGGTTAAGACTTGTTGTTTCTGGGTCTGTGAGCCTACGAAGAATAGACACGTGGGCTTTGAGGTGTTGTGAGATCAGCTGGAGATCAGGAATGGCTTCCTGGAGGAGGGAGCCTGTGGGCAGGTCCTGGAGGGGAGGTAGTGACAGGGTTCTGCCTTAGGGAGGTGGGTAGGGGAGTTTGGCTGGCAGCTGGAGGCCAGAAAGGAGAACTGTCCTCAGTATTTTCTAGGACTTTCTAAGAAGATGGCACTTGTTTTGTTTGACTTTGGGGAGGGGGCAGGGCTGACAGAATGTGCCACAATCAGAGGCAGGAAAAAACAACCCAGAATCCAGACTCGGAGCTCTGCTGTGGTGGCCTGGGCTGCCTCAGGAGGTAGTGAGCTGCCCGTCCCTCACGGGATCTCCAAGCTGAAGTTGGATTCCCTCTCACTGGGGGTGTTGCAGAGGAGTTTCTGGCTCCACAGTGGCTTGGATCAGAAACCTGGAGCTGTGCTCCTGACAGGCTTGGGCAGATGCTTCTCACTGGAGGTCTGGCCTTGGTCTTCTTACAGAGTCGGTGTGAAGCCAGAAACGTTCCTCCAGGTGATACAGAAAGTGAAAATGAACCTTTACTGCAAGGAAGCCATCATCCAGGTAAGTGGTGGCTTGTATCCTCCATGCCAGACTCTGTGCCAGTGGGCGTCTCTCGTCTGGGCCTGCCTCTGCCCCGTGTCAGCTGTGATCCAGAGGCTTCCTGGGGAGTTGCAGGGAGAGCGTCCTGGTTTGGCGTTATCTTCTGAGGCAGAAGTCGCCCAGGGACTACAGGGGGCTGCGAGCTTTCATGATAATCGGCCAAGATATTTTCCTTCCTATTGAGGGGGAAATGAGCCCCAACCTTGTGGTTCCTGGGGGTGGCTCTTAAAATGCAGGATGCGGGCTGCAGCCTTTGGCCAGGGACTGGCTCATGCTCGCAGACACTTCTCCGGCCATGCAAGCGACTCTTTTCACTTTGCCCCATCTGGCTGTCACCCTGTGTCCCTGGGGAACGGCCCCGGGCTCCCTGGGGGCTTTAATAGATTTTCATCCAGACTCTTCTCTTGTTTGAAGACTGTTGGATCCCACGCTGGTGGACTGATGTCGGCTGATCAGTTCCAGAGCGTCTTCGATGAGCTGGACAAGGACGCGATTAAGGAGGTCTGTCACCCGCTGAAGCCTGGGGCTGCTGGAGTTTGGGGGGATTTCCTTTACGTCCATAGTGGAGTCTGTCTCATCTCCGCCAACGCAGTCAGGTGCCCCGTAGGTGGCCCACGAGCCTCATTACCAGCACGGTTCTTCCCAACTCAGCTGTTGTCCTTTAACAAGCTGAAATTGGTCCCTAGAGCCTTGGGTGGAGAGGAGATGGGTCTTAAACCTGGCGTCTGTCTGCTGTTGTGACCGTGACCCCCACTCTTGGGTCTTTTGTGGGGGCCTTTCAGTTGGTTGATGCAAGAGAACCTGTGCTAAGCGACCTTTCCTTTGAGAAGTGTTTGAGGATGGCTGTCCTTAACAAAAGCGGATGTGCTCTTGGGTGGGTGGATTGGGGGAACTCATCCAAAGAGTGGCTTAGCTGCTTTATTTTGTTTTAAATTTTCTGTTTTGTTCTTGGCTTATTGGTGGAGAGCTGTTTCCCATTTAAAAACCAGACAAACCGAGGCGTAAAGAGGCTGGCTCCAGCCGCTCTGAAGTCCATTCTTCACTCTGTTTATCTGTTTTTATGTTTTCCCAGCATCCGCCTCGGCCTGAGTACCATTCCGCTATCCTGCAACGTGCACAGTCTATCTTTGGCCATCGCTATTTTGACTACTTGGGGAACCTAGTGGCCTTTGGAAACATCGTTTCCATTTGTGTGAGCGTTGTTTCTTGACATGTGGCTGCCATCTTACTTCTTCTTCTACCCGCCCTTTGGTTGTGGTCTTGCTCTCATCCTTCCTGGACTACTCGATCAGGGGTTGGGGGCAGGAGTTTGCGGGTTGGTCTTTGTGTGTATGTGATTCACGGCGGCCCCCGGTGACGCGCCTCTGTTCCCCTCGTAGGTGTTCTTGGTGATAGACGCAGACAAGTTGCCCAGTGAGCGGGATGACTTCATTTTGGGGGTAAGCTTTGGGGTTGCCCCTTCTATTTCTACGTCTGCCTGTGCATCTGGCCGTTTGTCCGCCTCCCTTCCCAGGCCAAGTGGGAGGTGCTGGATGCCTTCGTGTGGCTCTTTAACTTGTTTGAACCCCGTCTTTGCTCTGTGACCCAGAGCTCGGTCATCAGAAGGAAAGGGCAGCATTTTTTGTGCCCTCTTCTCTGCCATTCTCTTAACTGAGCCCTGGGTACACTCTTCTTGAGGGCTGCATTTCCACGGCTGGGAGAGTTCATTCATAGTGATGATCCCAAGGCCCCCAGGTCAGCACACGAAGGATGGACGTTGCCCGTGTGAGCGTGCTGACTTCGCTTTGTCGGGTCGCTCTTTATTTGCCCGCAGTCTGTGGCTTCCCACTCTGGTGACTTTGGACCTCAGGGGCCTAGGCCCTGCAGGAGCCTGCCAGACACGGGGCATCCCGGGGTGGCCACGTGGACTCACCGGCAAAGCTCTCATGAGCCGTGTGGTAGCTGTTGGCTGTTTTATCCGTCTTCATTTGCTGCCTCCTAGGATAGGGTTTTCTTGGTCTTTTTGGGTGGGGGGAGACCTGTGGAATGAAGTGGGATCCTTTCTTTTGCCATTTGAGTTACAAAGTCATCCGGAAGCATTTAACAGTCCCACATAGCTTTTTGTCGTCATCACGGATCTGGGCCTGAAAGAGGCCTCGGGGCTATCCGGTCTGACCGCCTCATTTTACATTTGAGGAAACTGAGGCCTGGGGGGCCGGTTCCATGACTCACCCAAGGAGGCCCCGGCAATAAGTCAGAGGTGAGATTTGAACTCACACCTTCTGACTCAGAGCATTGCTTCAGATTGATGGATGCTGATCAGGCACTGACTCTTATGCAGGACACCAAGGTACTTCTTGGTGGCAGACATGGGCCCACGTGGTCACCCGGGACATTGGGTCTGTCCCGGACCCCCTTTCCCGGTCCCCCAAGCCCTTGTGGCCGGCCACCTGCCAAGTGTCTCTTTGAGGCCTCTGCCCGCGGCTCCACTGACTGGGATTTTCCCGTTTCGTGCCTCCAAGGTCCTGAATTGTTTCTTCATCCTCTACTACATGCTGGAGATGCTGCTGAAGGTGTTTGCGCTGGGCCTGAAAGGCTATGTCTCCTTCTGCAGCAACGTCTTTGATGGGATTCTCACCGTGATCCTGCTGGTAATGGTTACCGACGGTGGGATGGGGAGGGCAGGCCCGAGCCCCCGCCAGACGTGGCCTCCCCACCTGAAGAGGCCCACATCGATTGCCCCCTGGGTGATCCTGGCGGCTCGTGGCTGAGCGGGGGGAGGGATGGTGCGTCTGGCAGAGGTCGGGAGGCTCCTTTTCCAAAGGCCTTTGGGGGAAGTGGTTGTGACGGCTGAGCCCTTCAGGCAGGCGGGCCGGCCTGGGCGTCCCACGTCTGCGGCCGGCTCAGAGGCCTCCGTGCTGTTCTCTCGGCCCTGTGCGTGGCGCTGTTCCCGTCCCTAGGCGGGGGTGGTGGATGGGATGTGGTAAGTTTGTCCACCCCCCCGACCCAGCTCAGCATCATTGCAGCCATGCCTTCTTCTCTTTGTGATTAAAGGTTTTGGAGATCTCCACTCTCGCTGCGTACCGATTTCCTCATCCGGGCTGGTAGGTGACATGAGTAGGATGCTGGCTCCTTCTTCCCTGGCCCTCTCCAGGGGCAGCCATGAGGCTGTGCAGGGCCTGCTTGCCTGGGTTCTTCAGATGGTGTGGGAGGACAGGGTCGAGTGGGTGCCTGGGCTCTGCTGAGATGGGTGCCCCCTGCCCCCTGCTCCCCACCCATGGTTAGGGCAGGGTCCCTAGCCTGCCTGCAGGACAGCAGGCCTCAGAACCTCACGCTAGGAGCTCGCTTTGCATAGCCGAGGTGAGATGGGCCGGCTCCCTGCCAGACGCCGTAGACGGCTCATTGTCCTTCCACTGAGGACTCGAAGCCTTGCTGTGTTTGCGCACGTGGCCGGAGAGAATGACCCCCATTGGGTGGCACAGGGCTCCCCTTGGGCTGGGGGACTCTTTGCTGCTTAGGATTTTGGCTTCTCCCCTGCCCTGGGATCCAAAATCCCTCCCACCACCTGTGCCTCAATTGCTCCCTCTGTAAGATGAGCTCCCAGGCTCCTTTGACATCCCAGGATTCCATTTGATTAGAGAGAGGATAATATTAATAATAACACCAACAGTAATGAAGACGATAATATAACAACAGAAATAACATTAAAACCACGACTCAGTCAGTGACAAAAGGCTGTGGTCTTAATCTACTGCCACAGTTGTTTGCAGGACATTAAACTTGAAAGAATAGATAAGGAAAGACGCTTGTCTCAGGACTGTTTCTGTCTGAACTTCATGGAATTCCAGCCTCAACAATGGGGAGAGGAGCTGGTGTTTCTGGAGCCCTAAAAGGGCACGTAAAGCACCATATTGGGCATCGTCTTGACAGCAGGTGCCCTTATCTCCATTTTACAGATGAGGAAACCAAGGCTCAGAGTTTAAGATGACTTGCCCAGGGTCACAGAGCTAGTAAGTGGCTGAGACAGGATTTGAAGCCAGGTCTTCCTGACTCCAGACCTGGCATTGTAGCTACTCTGCCCAAAGGGGCAGGGGTCGTAAGAGATGTTTCATTTTGCGCCTGATTCTAGGTCTTATCATTGATGACAGGATCGTAGAGCTGGAAGGGACCTTAGAGGTCATCTGTCTAACCTCCTTTTATAGAGGAAGAAACTGAGGCACTAAGAGGGAAGGGGACCAGCCCGAGGTCTCACTGGGAGGGAAGGCAGCCTAAGGTCTCATAGCTAGTGAGGACTCGAGGCTGGATTTGAACTCAGGTCCTGACTCTGAGCCTGGCAGCTTCTTTCCTGCTGCCTGTGCCTTGCACTGCTTTATGCTCTTGGTAGGAAGAACGTGACAGATTCCGACAGGGCTTTGTCATGGTCTCCCAGACCTTTGTGGTTGGGAGGAGCCTCAGCGGTCACTCCTGCCACCCTGGTGACCCCCACCTTGTTGAGCACCAGCGTGTGAATCGTGGGGGAGGAGGTCCATGGGCCTGGCTGGATGTGAATGCTTTGGGCTTCTGAATTGTTTGGAAGCTTACTCTGCTCCACGTCCCCGTCTGGGTTACCGTTTGTATGCCTGGTGGTCTTGATCGGAGAAGACAAGGGTGGGTTGTTGGCATCGTGAGGTCCCTGGTGGACAGTGAGCAAATACTGTGCTCCTTGGTGAAGGTCACCACGCTGACCTGGGGGCTGGTGGAGGACCGGCGTAATTTGAGGCTGTGTTTCTCTGCCTCAAGTCAGCCCTGGCCCGAGTGCTGTGTTCAGGGCCGGGCACCACCTTCTGGGAAGGGTGAACTGGGTGAAGCCTAGATGTCACCCGGGCTGGTCGAAGGAAGTAGGAATGGAGAAAGGGAGATTGAGGGGTGGGTGAGTGGGCGGGCCTGATCCTCCAAGGACGCTCTCTCTATTGGCCTTGTTCCGCTTGGCCCCAGAGGGCAGAACGTGGGAGGAAGTTGCAGAGATGCGTTTTTTCCTGATGTCAAAAAAAGCCCCAAAACAAAAAACTTCCTGAGAATTCGGGTCGTCTAAAAGTGGAACAGACCTTCCTCTGATAGTAGTGTACTCCCTGTCACTGGGAGGCTTCAGGTAGAGGCTGGGTGGCTAATTATTGGGGGTGCCGTAGAGGCTTGTTCATGTATGGATTGGACTAGATGGTTCTAATATTCTGGGATTCTTTGGGACTGGCCTCAGCTTGGGCCCAGCTTGGGCTGGTGGTCCTTAACCGATAAAGAAGTCCCTGATAATGCCATCCATACTGGTAAAACAACCCCTGGGTGCTCCCCCTTTAACAGGGCAACAAGCATTTATTAAGCACCTACTATATGCCGGGCACTGTGCTGAGTGCTGGGGGATACAGAGAGAGGCATAAACAGTCCTGCCCTCGGGGAGCTTACAATCTAACGAAGAATTTTAGCAAGGGCCTTCCTGTTTCTTAATATCCTTTGATACCCAGGATGTGGCCAGTGGAGAAAGTTATCACGATGGTAACGTGCACACTTCAATTTGATTCAGTTGTACAAGCATTTATAAGCACCTACTGTGTGCCAGGCGCACAGTGCAAAGACTAAAACCGGACATTCCGCCCTCGGGAGCTCAGATTCTCAGGAGACGATTAGGCGTATGTGGCTTCAACATAGTGGTCAGGTCAATCTGTTGGAGTGGCCGCCTTGAGTTGAGGTCAGGGCCTGACCAGCGGGTCAGGGATCCCCATCTTGGCATTTCTGCTCTTGTGCCCGAGCTTCCTCATGCCTGGCATGGCTCTGTCCCTCCCTCTCTCCTGTCTCCTCAACAGCTCCCAAGGCCGTGAGCTTAGCCTCTGTGCTCACCCCTCCCTCCCTCCTCCCTGTGTCTTGTAGGAAGCCGGAGATGCTGGGCCTCTTGTCTCTGTGGGACATGGCCAGGCTGGTGAATATGTTCATTGTGTTTCGGTTCTTAAGGATCATCCCCAATATGAAGGTCAGTGGGGGGTGGTTTGTCGGCATTTTAGCTGTTCTGCCCTTAATAACATTGAGAGCCCCGCTCTGGGCCGGGTAGACTAATGTTAGCATCCCGGGTGGAACATGGATCATGAGGTTGGGCCCCAAAGGCTCGGGGAGCCCAGCCCCGGCTTCCTGAGGGGACCCTGCTCCATTCAGCCTTCATTCCTCGCACGGCTGGGGAGAGCCGTCAGTGAGGGAGCACCAGTTTTGTTGAGGGGTCTTCAGCATCTTTTGTTTTAAATAGCGTCATTTTCACATCTCATGCTGGTCTCCCCTCCCCCCAGTTTCCTTTGTAACAAAGGAGAACAGTTAAGAAAGACCAGCTGACCTAGCAGCCCTGTCTGCCTGGGGGTGCCAGGTTCTGCACCCATAGTCCCAGCCAAGGAATCCGCTGGCAGCTGAGGACCCTCCCCTGAGGGGGGGTGGGTGGTACGGGGGCTACTGAGCAGACAGGCCAGATCCCAGGGCCAAGAGGACCTGGGCCTCCCTCCTGCCCAGCAGTGACAGTGACAGCCTGCAGCCTTCCTAGCCGCCACAGGCCAGAGCAGGCAGCTGTGTCTCTGCGGGGAAAGAAACTTGGCTCTCTTCTTTTTAGCTGATGTCCTTGGTGGCTGGGACCCTCCTGGACTTGATCAGAAACATGAGAGCCTTTGCAGGGATCCTGGTGGTAAGTTAGGCCCTTCCTGTGCCCCCCAGGCCTGTCCCCTAGCTGTCTGCAGCTTTGGTGTCTGGGGAGGCTCCGCGCGCGTGTGTGTGTGTGTGTGTGTGTGTGTCTGTGTCTGTGTGTGTGTGTGTATCTGTGTCTGTGTGTGTGTGTGTGTGTGTCTGTGTATCTGTGTCTGTGTGTGTGTGTGTCTGTGTGTGTGTGTGTATCTCTGTGTGTGTGTGTGTATCTGTGTCTCTGTGTGTGTGTGTGTCTGTGTATCTGTGTCTGTGTGTGTGTGTGTGTCTGTGTGTCTGTGTATCTGTGTCTGTGTGTGTGTGTGTGTCTGTGTGTGTGTGTGTGTCTGTGTATCTGTATCTGTGTGTGTGTCTGTGTATCTGTGTGTGTGTGGGTGTGTGTGTATCTGTGTGTGTGTATCTGTGTGTGTGTGTGTCTGTGTATCTGTGTCTGTGTGTGTGTCTGTGTGTGTGTGTGTCTGTGTATCTGTGTGTGTGTGTGTGGGTGTGTGTCTGTGTATCTGTGTCTGTGTCTGTGTATCTGTATCTGTGTGTGTGTGTCTGTGTATCTGTGTCTGTGTGTGTATCTGTGTGTGTGTGTGTGTCTGTGTATCTGTGTCTGTGTGTGTGGGTGTGTGTGTGTGTCTGTGTATCTGTGTGTGTGTGTGTGTGTGTCTCTGTGTGTGTGTGTGTGTGTATCTGTGTCTGTGTGTGTGGGTGTGTGTGTGTGTGGGTGGTCCAAAGCCCGGCGCAGAGACCACATCAGCTCCTGCGCAGGCTCTGACGAAGGCTGGCTGGCTGATCACAGAAGGGTCTGCCCTCCTCAGCCTGGTCCTCTGTGATTCCTTTTGACTTTGCTCCATTGACTGCAGAGCTTTCCTTTTCAAAAGCCCAGTGATGGAAACCGCTTTTGGCTTAAACGCTGAAAGCCCCACTGCATGGTCATTTTGGGGGGACCATCTGAGACTGTCTGCCGAGGTCGAAGGGACCTCAAGACCCTTCAGTAACTTTTCCTTTTACGAAGGAGGAAACTGAGGCCCAGATCAAGTAGTTTGCCCAGAGTTACACAGGTGGTAATCATCCAAGGTGAGATTTGAACCCAGATCCTCTGACTTCTGAGTAAACCCGTTTCCCACATTATAGGCCTCTCCATCGGTGAAACGGTGGCTCCTGGTTGTATTGTGGTGGGTGGGCCCTGAAGAGGCAGGCAGGGCCTCCTCCCCACCCAGGGCCAGGGCCAGGGCCAGCTTGGGCAGGGACCGCTAGTCTTCCCTGTCGGCACGACCCTCCTTAGTCGCTTATCTGATGCCACCTAGTGGCTGATGGCTGAAAGGCTCACTTAGTATGGGCAGGGTTCCCTTTCTGGAGGAACGTGGGCTGTCCCAGCGTGCGAGCTGGAAAGGATCCCTCCCTTCCGCTGCAGAGCCCAGTAGCCTTCCCTGAATCTGCCATCTTGTCCTCAGGCCTTTGGCTCACTTTGAGCTCCTGGGGAGGAATAAAAGCAGCTGGCCAGAAAATTCATTTATTCCAGGCCTGCCCTGGCTTCGGAGTCAGAGAACCCGGCCTTGAACCCCTTTCGTATTTGTGGGGCCGTCCCCTCTGGGCCTCAGTATCCCCCTCTGTGAAATGCAGGGTTGGCCAAGGTCCCTTTCAGCTCTAAGCCTGTGATTCGCTGGCCTCTGTGAAATGTGGTTAATAGCTGTCTGAAAGCCCTTCTGGCTTTTCTCTTTCTAGGTGGTTTACTATGTTTTTGCCATTGTTGGGATCGGCCTGTTCCAAGGAGCCATTGAATCCCCTCCAGGAAACAACAGGTTAGCCTGGCATGGGGAGGGAGGGAGAGGATTTGGGAATTTGTTCATTCTTTTAGCTGAGACCGTGTGTGTGTGTGTGTGTGTGTGTGTGTGTGTGTGTGTGTGTGTGGTCCTCCTGGCCTCCGCCTTGTTCCTGTCCCTGGTGCTGGCTCACTGTTGACCCTCTCACTTCACCCTTGGTGTTCCTTTAGTTGACCCTCCCCAGACTCTAAGGCTGGCCTTCCCTGGGGCAGCCTCTGGCAGTGTTTCTGGAGAGGTTGAGGTTCTCTGCCCCCATGTTCTCTCTTCCGGCCCTGACCGCCCAGGCCCAGAGGCAGTGATTGGCATCTTGAGAAGTGTGGTGTTGATTAGGTCACCCTGGCTTGTGACGTGGCATCTGCCTCTTTGCGCTTGACCTTGGGGCTGCCTTGAGGGAGCCAGCGTCTCGGCCTAGGGAGGCGATAGCCGTGCTGTCTGTTTTCTGCCCTGGCCCGTCAGTTGGTCAACAGGCTTTTATTAAATGCTCCCTATGTGCTGAGGCAGCCCTCTAAGCACTGGGTGTATAAAGAAAGGTAAGAGCTGGCCCCCACCCGACCGAGGCCACTCACATTCTAATCAGGGAGATGGCGTGCAGATGACTGTGCGCACCCTAGATGTGTGCGGTGTAGATGGGAGGCCTCTCAGAGTGCCTGGGCGGGCAGGAGAGGCGTCCTGCACAATGGGAGCTCAGGGCCTGGGTGCCACATTTTAAAGAAGGCTGTGGATGACCTGGGAAGGGTCCAGAGGAGGGCAGCCAGCCTGAGGAAGGACCGCAAGCACACGCTATTAAGGAGTCTTATCTGGGAAGAGAAGACTCGGGGTGAGGAGGGGGTCCGGCATGTGATCCCCACCTTCGAAGTCTCTGCAGGCCGGCCCATCGGCCTTGTTCTGCTTGCCTCTGGGGTCAGACCCAGGAACAAGGGAGGAATAGCCCCATGAGAGGCCTCATAGCTCCTGACTGTCCCCTGGGTGGGGAGGGCAGCGCGGGGCTTCTGGCAGAGGTCTGGATCCCGTGATGCAGAGCCAGACCGGGGTCCTCATCAGCCACGGCAGTAACTTCTCTAGCGCTTTAATGCCTGCACAAGCACGCGATCCCAACAGCCCTGTTGGGACGTGGCACTGCCGTCGTCACGCAGTAAGGGCCAGCGGCAAAACCTGAGTCCGGGTCTTCTGGCCGCTGGTGATGCCCGCTGGGCTGCACTGCTCTGTGCCAGTCTCAGTGTCTGTTCGTTGTGTTTCGTAGCCTGGTCTATGCCAACAGCAGTGCACCGTGTGGCACCTTTGAGCAGCTGGAGTATTGGCCCAATAACTTCGATGACTTTGCGGTAAGACCCGCCTTGTCCTGTCCCCGTGCTCGTCTCTTCTGGCCCCTGCCCCCACGCTCCCTCTGCTTCATTGCTTCTGGTCCCCATCTGTCCGTAGGCTGCCCTGGTGACTCTCTGGGATATAATGGTCGTCAATAACTGGCAGGTTTTCCTGGATGTGTATACGCGGTACTCCAGCCCGTAAGTGGTTAGTGCGGGCTTGGGCAAGGCTGTTGGTCGTGTGGCATGGGAGGGGCCGTGTGCCCTGTCCGCCGCGTCCCCAGCAGCTGGAGTTCCCACTTGGCCAGTTTTCTTCCCTGTCATCTTTTTAAAGCCCCTTTGTAGGGAGCTGGGGGTCAGCGGTGCACTTGAGCCCCGTTGGAGCGGTTTGGGGGTCGTTTTTTGGGAAGGACATTGACAAGTTGGAGGGGATCGTGAGGCGGGACCACAGACCAGGCCCCGTCCTTGTGGGCAGAGGGAAGCAGGGCCAGAGGGCCTGCGGCCGCACCGGAGAGCTGTCCGTGGTTGATGGTCAGCTTTGGTCTGCTGGGCCCCGGCCCAGGGGGTGAACCAGGAGCGGTGAAGGAGTGGTGTTAGCCATGAAGAGACGGATTGAGGCATGGAGGGCAGGGGCGCCTCGGCAGGTGGGGAGCTCCCCCTTGCTGGGGGCTCTTCAGCAGGCATTGAGGTAGGGGCCGGCCCAGATGCCCCCGAGGACCCGTGCAGCCTTGGGCCAGCGCATCTAGACTGAGCTGATGCTGAGGTGGCTGTGCCGGGCGTTTCCGGGGCAGTGCCCGGTGGAGGGTGGCATCGGGGGCGGGGTCACAGGAAGCGTGTCATCCCCCTCCCCGCAGGTGGTCGAAGCTCTACTTCGTGGCCTGGTGGCTGGTGTCCTCCGTCGTCTGGATGAACCTCTTTGTGGCCCTGATTCTGGAGGTAGGGGTGGTGACACAGTGTGTCACTCTCAGTCAGCATGAGCTCACGTCAGACCCTTGTCTGCAGCCCGAGTCAGACCTGTGACTGACCATTGCTGATTCCCAGCATGTGCCCAGACCCCTTCTTGTGAGTGTCTGCCCCGGGATTGCCTCGGGGTGGGGAGCTCCCAGTATGGGAACCCCCTCCTTGAGGTAACTCTAACCTTAGAGAGCCAGCCGCCGGGGCACTGCGGAGTGAAGGGACCGTCCAGAGACCCGTGGCCAGGGTGTCAGAGGGGAGACTTCCAGATGGCCAGGGCAGCTCTCTGCCCACTAGGCCAACCTGCGTCCCACCCCTCTATACGTTTTGTACTTTTCCTTACCACCTGATGGCCCCTTAAACTCAATACTCCGGTGGTGCTGCGAGCTTATCAGTTCAGGAGGACCCTCCAGGGATGCAGATAGCGACCCATCCCTACCCGTCCTTTCCGGGTGACTCTCATCCCAGGTCCTCTCCTACTCCTTGCCGATGAAATCACAGGTCCAGGTTCCCCCTCCCCCCAAGTCTGTTTGCTGTACTGATCCCAATATTGGCTCCACACCTCCCCTTCAATGGCCCCAAAGCTGCCTCTTAATAATTATTGAGGTATAGCCAAAGTGGGGGATGGAGAAGAGCTGGGGCGATAAAGGGAGTGATGGCCTAATTGGAATGAAAAGAAATAAAACCCCCCATCTTTTTTCATACGTGTCTGCGTATGCACACATGTACACATATACATGTATCTACTAGCATGGTTTTGAGCAGCAGAGGAAAGAGCACCAGCTTTGGAGTCTGGAGCCCTGGGTTCTAATCCTGCCTCTGACAGTTACGAGCTTGGTGACCCTGGGCAAGTCGCTGAAGCCTCTGAGGGTTTCAGGCGAGTCCCAGTGGCCCAAGGCTCGGGAGTCACTCTGGGGTGGAGGCAGCTGGGTGGTGCAGTGGGTGGAACACCTGGGCCCTGGAGCCAGGAGGACCCGAGTACAAATCCAGCCTCAGAAACTCAATGCTTACTAGCTATGTGACCCTGGGCAAGTCACTTAACCCTGACTGCCTCACAAAAACCAAAAAAACAGCACTGCAGGGGGAGGGGCCCTCCTCACCCCGTCTTTCCTCCTGCTTCCTCTTGGCTGGGGGAGCCCAAGGTTAGGATTACAACTGGGAGGGGAGAGAAAGGGCCTCAGTTTCCTCATCCGTAGTCCTGGGGGTTGGACTAGAAAGCCTTTCAAGTCCCTTCCAAACCTTTTCACCAGAAAATTAAGTCAGCAGCCCAGGGGACGGGGCGGGGGGGGGTGTTGAGTCAGACAGGAAGGCTGTTCCATTCACCGGTGGTCAGATGGAGACCCCTCCTCTTCCCCCCTCCCCCTCCAGAACTTCATTCACAAGTGGGACCGCCGAGGCCAGCAGCAGCCCGTGCCTGGGGCGTGCCAGGCACCGTACCAGATGACGGTGGAGCTTATGTTTAGGTAAGCAGTGATGAGGCATGAGGGTCTCGTGTGCTGGCTGCCCACTCCCTGTTAGGAGTGTGTGTGCGGGGCGGGGTGGGTAGGGAGGCCCTTCTTTGGGAGTCAGTGCATGGTGGGCATGGTGGCGGGTCCCTCTGCCACAAGCCTGGAGTGGCTCTGACCACTCAACTCACCTTCCTCTTTGCCTCTCTGATCTCCTTTGGAGCCCAGAGTGCAAGGTAGAGGAAGTTCAAGAACAAGGTGGTTCTGAGTGGAACTGGGGATTGTCCTTCCCTTTGGCTGGCTGTGGGATCCAGCCACATCCATAAAATGCCTACTATGTGTCAGGCACCCCTGGGCATGGGAAACGCTCCATCAAGGTCCCTGGGTCGGCAGAAACCCTGCTCCCAGAGCCTGTGATGTGCCGAGTGGAGAAGCCGGGTGGGGCGTCAGGCCTCCTCCAGCTCGTCTGCAGCCAGGGGCTCTTCTGTGAGGACCTTCTGATCTAATGTCACGAAGGTTCACTGAGCACCTGCTGTGTGCCAGGCTGGAGGATACAGGCTTGCTCCCAGGGACCTTACAGTCTGTTGAAGAGCTGAGAACATGAGCTCTGGGAAGACAGGAGCCGGGGCCCTTCTGTCTTTATGGCCCCAGCACTGAGCCCAGGCCCGGCACAGAGCAGCTGCTGGATTGGCGATGGCTTCGTGGATAGTGGGCTCCTGGGCCGGGGCCTCTCTGTTTCTCACTGTGCCTCCTGCAGGGATGTCCTACAGGAACCTACAGAAGAAGAGTTGGTGGAGAAGTTGATGCGGCATCCCCACCTCCACCTCTGGAGGTGACAGGCGCCCCGCCCCCGCCCTCAGCCCGGGACGGACACAGCAGGAAGCCCTGCAGAGTGCCGTCACGGGGGGCCCTTGCGAGGGAAGGACAGAGAGGATGGGGTTCCCTGCATTAGAATCGTTTTCATCTTGCAAACCACTGCGCCCATCTGTGTGGAAGGAGGACCGTCTGCCCTGTGCCGGGAGGACCACTGACCACGTGAATGTTGGTGTGGACTCTGGCTCTGGACACCGACTGACTATGAGACCCCTCTCCTCTGCCACTGGTGGGCTTCTGAGCCGCTGCTATGACCCCGTCGCATTTTACCTCACAAGCCGGTAGGAGTGCAACAGGCCGTGGCTGGGAGTTGCCAGAGGGTGAGACCACCAGGTCTGGGGGTTGACCTCCCACGGTGCCTTGGGGGGCTCTGGGGCAGTCCTGGCTTTTTGTATGCAGATGAACCAGATTTATTTTTTAGCCTGAATGATGACTCCAGCCGTGCTGTGCCTAAAAGGGACTTGAGGGAGGCGGCAGTGTGCCCACTTCTCTGGGGCCGCTGGCTCAGATGGGCAGTCCTCCCAAGGAAGGCTTCTCCTGCATCTCTCCTAAGCCTGCCCCCTTCGTCGGCCTTAGCCCCTGAGCTCCGTGGGAGCTGGGCAAGGAACCCTCAGCCTTCGCAGCCAGGCCTGCTGGTTGTCTTAGATGGTGGCAGGAAATTTTGCGGGTTTTCCACATGGGTCAATGTGACCATGGACTGGAGCTGATGACATAGTTGAGTCTCCTCTCCCCTACCCCTCTCTCCACCTGCTGTCCTGCCCTAATATGTGCTAAGTTTAAGTCAGATCTATCGTAGGAGAAAGTGGTACGTGTTGATTGTAGTTTCTGTGAGCAGCCCTTGTGGGACCCTTCCTCGTCTCTCCTGCTTCTTTTCCCTTCTCAGAAGTAGTCCATGGGGTTTGAAGGGGTGAGGAGCCCAGCGGTACTTGTGCCCCAGCCCCTGGGACCTGAAGAGGCAGGAGTGAAGCGCCTCCGGGGTGCTAGGTGGGCTGCAAAGGGCTCCTGGGAAAGCCGTCCCTTCCCCGTCCGCGTGGAGCCTGCTTTCTGCGGCAGCCCCTGTGCCGGGTGTAAAGGGAGCGAGCCGGAGCTGACCCGCGGCACGGAGGAGGGCTTTCTCTTCTGTCCTCTTCTCCCTTCTGTCTTCCTTCTGCAATGCCGTGGCATTGTGAGCACTGCGGCTCACAGCCAGTCCTTTCTGGAAATCACCACGCCCCACCTCCCCGCCTGTGAACGTGCCTTTGTAGAGCTGGGGCAGCCATTTTGTTCCACTGTGTGCACCGTTCTGCACCTGTAGTCCCTCACCTCTCCAACAAAGGCAGGGGGAGGAACTGTATGAATTTGTATGAGTCTTAGCGTCAAACCTGTTCTGCTTCTATTCTTGACCCCCTTCTCCCTTTATGTGATCTGAGATAAATCCAGTGTTCGGTAGTGCTGGCCAGCAGGAAAGGAAAGGATGGAGAACAGAGGGAGGGAGGATGATTGGTGAGGGGAGGAGAAATCACTTGTTGTCCACACTGTCTGTTCTAAGACTGTGTGTGTGTGTGTGTGTGTGTGTGTGTGTGTGCGTGTGTGCACATGGAGTGTGTTGTGATGTGCATGGGGGGTGTGTGTGTGTATGTGGGTGGTGTCAGAGAGTTTGTGTGTGTGTGTGTGTGTGTGTGTGTGTGTGTAAACTCATGCTCCTGCACAAATTCTATGTGTTGACCACCTAACTGGCCTGGTGGTGGACCCTCCTCATCCTCTTTGTTTTTCCTGTGTGGAGGGCTGGCCATGCTGCTCTGAGAGGTTATGGGTCACTCCCAGAGGCCCTGTAGGGTCCCTGAGCTTGATGAAATTGGCACAATGTCATTTGCAAACAGGAGTGTCTGGAGACCCTCCCCCCAAAGCCAACAAACATTAAGCACCTGCTGTATGCCAGGTACTGTGTTAAGCACTAAGTGTAGTTTGGGGATGGAGGGGATACAGAAAATTGCAGCAAGCCCCAGGGGATTCAAGGAAAGGCCAAAGACAGTCCCTGCCCTCAGGGAGCTCACCATCTAATGGGAAGACAACACACAGAGGTATGCAGGACAAGCCGTGTACTCGATAAAGAGTAAATGACAGGGAGGAGAGGGACGGGATTAAGGGGTGGGGGAAGCTTCCTGTAGAAGGTGGGATGTTGGTTGGGACTTGGGAAGCTGGGGAGGTCAGTGGTCAGAGCAGAGGAGGGAGAGCCTTCCAGGGACAGCCAGAGAGAAGGCTCAGAGCTGAGAGATGGAGGGGTTTGTTCCTAGGGAGGCCGGTGGGCCGTGTCACTGGGTAGAAGAGGGTGTGTCGGGGAGTGAGGAGACTGGAGACAGGGAGGGGCGGTGATGGAGGGTGTTAAAGCCTAGAGAGGGAATTCTGGCCCTATGTGGGAATGCGCATTTCTTGTTCCCTGATTCACCCTCGGTCCCCCAGACTTGTCTCTCCCTCACTTTCAGTCTCTCCTCATTCACCCTCTCTCTCCCCGCGGCCTCTGCGCACGCTCAGGTCTTCCCCCACCTCTGATTCCTGCCATCCCCCATCACGCCGCACTCCCATAGTCCAAACTTCTGGGGCAGGGTGCTTGTGCTCATCACCTGCATCCTCACATTCTCGCAGGAGCGTCCTCAAGGCCTGTCCACCTTGTAGGGGAAGCTTCCAGAGCTCATGCTCCACTGACTCGTTCAGTCATGTCCGACCTTCTGTGATCCCATTTGGGTTTTTCTTGGCAGAGACACTGGACGGGTCTGCCATTTCCTTCTCCAGCCCATTTTACAGATGAGGAAACTGAGGCAAACAGGGTGAAGTGACTTGTGCACTGTGGCGCCACCTAGCTGCCCCAGCCTTTGAAAATCCATGGCCACCTTCAGACCACAAGGAGGCATTGGGGTGGTGAAGGCTGTTTGGACTTCTGTGAATAAAGAATCAAACCCAGTAGGGGGATGAGCCCTTAAGTGTAAAGTATCCACATTTTGATTTCATTTTTTTTTTAAAAAGAACGCCATACACATTTTAATTTAGAATCACAAGACTTCCAGCTGGAGGGATCTAAATTAAAGTGAAACTATTAAGAAGTAAGAGACGTGCTATTCTTTTTTCCTTCTGTTCAATCAGAATGTAAAGCTTGAATTGGGGGCCATTTGCCGCCGTTCCCTTGCCGACCCAGTTTCCTCATCTGATCCAGCCCCTGCATTTCCAGATGAGAAAAGGAGTCATCTGCCGGTCCTGCAGGTCCAGTGTTAAGGCAGCTTACCTTGGCCAAAACAAACCAAAGATTCCTAATCTTCCTGCTCTTCCAGGTCTGACCGTATCACCCCCTCCTCAGCAAACCCCAGGGGCTCCCTGTAGCTCCCAGGATCAAATACACGATGCCGTGTGACATTCAAAGCTCTTCATAATCCGTCCCCTCCCACCTTCCCGGGCTTCCTACACCTCACTCCCCAACTGTGGTGTGGAGGTCAGTGATGCTGAGCCTCTGGCTGTCCCAGGAATCTCTCAGTTCTGGCCATTTTCTCCGGCTGTCCCCCGTGCCTGGATCGCTCTCCCTCCTCTGCTCTGACCACTGACCTCCCTGGCTTCCTCTCTATCTCAACTAAAACCCCACCTCTTGCAGGAAGTCTTCCCAGCCCTTCTTAATTCCAGTGCCTTCCCTCTGTTAACTATTTCCTTTTTGTCCTGTATGGAGCTTGCTTTGTATATATTTGTTCTCCTGACGTCTCCTCCATTAGATTGTAAACTCCCTGAGGGCAAGGATTGTCTTTGCCTTTCTTTGAAGACCTTGGGCTCAACATAGTGCCTGGCACATAGTAGATGCTTAATAAATGTTTATTGACTGCTTCTTATTCCCTTCTGATCAGTGGGTGCAGACCACTCTGGCAATTTAAGGAGCCTGCTGTGCGTCAGCCACTGTGCTAGGTTCTGTGCTAAGCATAAGTGTCCTGGATATAGTAGACAACTTAAATGCTTCATTACCAAGACAAATACTACCTGCCTTCAGGGAGCTTACATTCCATGCAGAGAACCGCAGGATGAAAGGGGATGAAAGGGGATAGATGTCTGCATTTTCATATATTTTGCATTAGGGGCATAAGGATCTTACAATCTACTGAAGCAGCATGGGGGTGGGGTGGGGAAGAAAAAGCATTTATTAAGTGCCTACTGTTTGCTAGGCACTGTGCTAAGTGCTTTACAAAGATGATGTCATTTGAGCATGGCACGTGAGCTAATAAATGGAGACATGACAATTGGAAGGAGGGAGGAGGGAGCATTAGCCCCTAGAGTGTCTGCAGAGGTTTCTCTTAGGAAAGGAGACTTGCAGGAACTGTAGGATCTGAAAAGGAAGGCATTCCACATGTGGAGGATTGCTTTGGGCAGAGGTGTGGAATGAGGAAGCAGAAAGCTGTTGGGCTGTTGGGCTGCTGGGCACTGGTCACCAGCTGCTCTGGATGACGGCTCTGTGTCCCTGTTTGGTGTCCTCTGCAGACTGCCAGCTCCTGGAGGGCAGGAATTGTGTCTGGGCCTCATGCATATTCTCATCCCTAGGGTGGCCAGTCCAGCACTGGGCACGCGGTCTGCTCAGTGCTAAATGATGAAATGCAAAAATTAGTTAGACTCTTCGCTCAAAGCTTTCTCCCTCTGTGTCTAGAAAGCTTGTGGCTGCTGGATCAATGTGTCCAGCCGTACTTAGCTATCAAACAGGATTCACCTTGGGTTCTGGAATAAACTATTTTGAAGGCTGAACAAACAATGAGGTTCTGTGGTTATTGACTTCTCCTTCTCCTCCCCTCCCCCTCCCGTCCTGGTGGGTTTGGGTGCTGTGGCTAGAAATGTGTTTCCCCCCGTCTGTCATCCAGGTTTCCTCCCTGGTTGGGGCAGTGGGGGACAGGCTGGGGACGGGTAGCAATTTCACAAAGCTAGAAATAACCTGGGGCTTTTAGCTGAACCTCAGAGGAGAGCCCCCTTCTCCCAGAGGTCACAGAATCTCTGAGCTGGAAGGGGCTTCACAGCCATTTAGTCTTAAGCCAACCCAAGCCAGACCCCCCTTCCCCCCAAACAGCATTGGTCCAAGAGCTCACTTTGATATGTCACTTTAAGGTTTGTGGAACCTTTTTACGGTTCATCGCATCTGGTCCTGACAGCCCGAGTTCATGACATACACACAGTGGTTGGGAGAGTTATCTAGGGTCACATGGCTAATGTGTCTGAGGTGGGATTTGAACCCAGGGCATCCAAGTTCCCGCCTTTATGCATCATGCCATGCCTCAAGACCTTCACTGCCTCCCATTTGTTCCCTGAGGAAAGGGCAGACCCCTTTCTCTAGCGTTCAAAGGCTCTCTGGCTCTTCCCTGAGACCCAGGGTGTGGAATAGGTAGGTAATCTGTATCCTGAGATCTCTGGAGCTTTGTTTGGGAGTCTGGGTTATCCTAGAACCCTTAGGGGCCTGGGAAAAAAATGCCCGGAGGGCTAGAAGGTTCCAAGACCAGAACTGGTCATCCAGGGATGCCTGGGACTGGGGCTGGACTAGATTCTTTGAAGTGGTGGGGGAGACTCCCCACGGCTACCTCCAGATCAAATCTGGCCTGACCTGAAACTGAACACTCCTAATGTCCTCCCCAGTACCCCCTTCCAGTCTGGCCCAGAGCAGCAGCTTGGAGCCCCTCATCAGATCCTGTCTGCAGCTCGTTCTTTGACTCCCAGTTTGCCTGGACTCGGAAAACGTGCCAGCCATCACCTTGAGGACACTTGCACACCTTGGATGTTAGCAGGAGTTTCTGAAGTTGTAGATTTGGCATTGGAAGGCACCTCAGAGGCCATCCAGGGCAACTCCCCACCTTACAGATGAAGAAACTGAGTCCCAGAGAAGGGACTCACAGGATCCCAGCGTTAGAGTTGGAAGGGCCGTCATCTCCAGGGTTTCTTAACTTGGGGTCCATGAACTTAAAAAAATGGTTTGATTACTGCATATCAATATAATTTGTTTCTTTTCTATTTCTAAGTACTTTTATTTTATGGCTTTAAAAATGTAATTCTTAGAAGGGTTCCCTAGTTTCACCAGACTGTTGCCCAGGACCCAGAAAAACATTAAAAACCCTCAGATCTTATTCAGCTGCTTCATTTTACACATGAGAGATTTGAGACCCAGTGCAGGTGAAGTGACTTCTGCGTTCATAGCATTAGAGATGGAAGGTGTCTTAGAGATGATCTAACTTGTCTAGAGCTCTGGATATAGAATCAGGGAGACCTGAGTTCAAATCCTACCTCAGGCATTTGTCTGTGTGACTCAGGGCAAGTCATTTCCCCTGTCTGCCTCAGTTTCCTCATCTGTGAGATGGAGATAATAGCACTGGCCTCTGAGGGACATCATGAGGATAATGCTAGAGAATATTTGTGAAGTATTTTACAAAACATAAAGAGGAAGGAAGAGGTGGGTGAAGTTTCAACTCTGAATAGACCATAATTTCCGATCACCAGACACACCAGAGCGGTTGAAGGCTGCCTTTGGTGACCCTTCTAGGTCTGCTCATTCAGCCCCCACTTCTCAGGAGGGAGACTGGCTTTGGA